TAGATTTGTTTAATTACCAACGATTGTTAAAAGAAAAAAATTTAAATCAGTATCATAGAAGTTGAACAATTTCAAATGTATAGATATTGTTTTTGTTTAATATTTTTGATTGACTATTTTCAAAATAGTAACATTTGTAATTTTTAAATTTATTGTTGTATTAATAATTAGTTTATGAACATTTTATTAGTTAAATACTTATATTATCAGACAAAAGATTATTATTGTTCTTTAAATGTTATACTATACTATATATTTGTCGTTGAAATTTATCAATACAATTGTTTTACTATGTGTTATCAATGTTCAAATTTTGTAAAGTACACAGTAAAAATTAATAAAAATTGTTTTTTAACTCTTTAAAGTAGGAAAATTATCGCATACGCATTACAGCAAATATTCTTTTAACCATTATTTGCATCATTAAAGGTAAACAAATTTTATTTTTAACAACTATGCATTATAAGTTAGTATAATTGATTTTATAATTATTTGTATTTATACATAAATATAGTATACATGTAGTTATGTGTATGAAATCAGACAAACTTGTCGCGTACAAATTCCATAAAATTTAAATCCTTAAAAATGTGTTTTATTACAGAATAATTGTTAAATTTAGATACTACAATTTAGCTAAGACTATTTTTGATTTAATATTGCCACTTTTACATGATCTTAGTAAAACGTACCCGTTATAATAGTTTAATAATGTCAATACTTTAATTTGTATAGTAAACAAGGAAATATCAAATAATGGTTTTCTTTTTAAACAACTAAAATCTATTAAGCTTTTAATTTTCTAGATATTAAATAGTGAAGAAAATAATAAAAATAAGAAAATACTGATTATACATAAAATCAAAATAAGCAGATTCAACTGTAAAAGAATTAACTTTTCAATTTGAAATTTTTGAAACAGACATTTTATTATAAAGGCTTTAGAATCACTATTATTATAACATTATACACCTTATAAGTTATAATAATAATTAGTAAGTACTAATAAAAAGATTAGAAACATATAAACTATTTAATTTAATAGTTATTAATAAAATAAAAAAGACAAGTTCTGATAATTTAATGTTTGCGTGACACAAACCCTAACTTTATTTCTGAAGTTTGAGTATCACTGTGTGATTTTGTGTAATTGAGTCACAAACTATTGATCCATATTTTTATTAATGGGATCTTGATAGGAAATAACTTGACTTAAAAAAAAATGAAATATCAATGATGTTGAAAAATTTACCGTTACAGAAAAATCAAATCTTTTTGCCAACAGGATGGGGAAAACAGAAAAAAAAGTAAAAGTACTTTGAATCACAGTTTGGAACTACCGGCTTAAATTAAGTCGATAATACGATTTCAAACTTAACTGTGATTTTGTTGTAGGTTCCTAAAACACTGTTTACAAACATCTAGTCTTTAGACAACTTAATCAATTAAACACAGTCCACTTTATTGCATTATTTTTATTAATAAAGTTGTTTATATAATAAAAAAAAGTTAGTTATAAATGTAAAATAAGCAACATTTTAAATATTTACTGTAGAATTAAAATTGTAAGCAAATTAAATCCAAAATTCTTTATTTAGTGTAAATTGTTTAAAACAATTATTTGAGCACAGAACATATTTTGAATAAAGTGAACATAACTAAACTAATAATAGTAACGCTTCGCGACGCTTGTCCATTCAATGTATGCACTTATGAGATTGTAAGCCAAATTTTAAAGCTATTGTTTACTACCTATAAAAACTAAAAATTATAATTTTCAAATAGCATAATAATGATCTGTTGTACTGTGCTGTTACTTGTTGAATGTAGAACATAGATAGTAGAAAAATATGATAACTAATGATAATAATATTTTGTATTATCATCATAGCAGCAGTTATCAACCTACTTGTAACACGGTTTTTGATTGTTGTGGTTAAATAGCCATTCGTTAGCTGCTGTCAATATAGGTCTGTCAACCTATCTGTCATGACAGTGTGTTAGAAAAGTCGGTAATCTATAAATATGAAACGCTGGTCAAACAAAATATCACAAAACATTTTATTGTTTGGTTATCTGTGTACTCATCTATCGGACAATGCGATCATAAATAAGTATTTTATTGGCTCCCGGTCTTTGGAAAACCAAAGAAATAAAACAATATTTAAGAGAAAATGTAATATCTTTACAAAGTCATAGCTAACGACTAGATGGATAAAAATTAATAATTCAAACGATAACATATTTTAAAAATTTTTTGCCTACAAATTTATGGAATTAAAAACATATGTTGCCATTTGAAAACGTGAACTTAGACCCTTTTTATCGTATAAGGGATGAAAATACAAATTTTCGAAGCATTGAAAAATGTAGTAAAACTTATACCTAAAAGAATAGGAAAAAATGTTTTTTCAAAATATTCATATTTTCCGAGAAAATGAGTGTCTTACGTTAGTTGGATCACCCTGTATTTAGTGAATAAAATGACTTTTAATTAAAATAAATTTGTATTTACTGTATCAAGTAATTTTTCATTGGTAGGTACTACTAACAATATTTCATATAAATTGCTTTCTTGTCCTAAGCAACGTACGGTATAAAACGGTCAACAAAAATGAACTTGAGTTTGCTCTAAATGCTCATTTTCTCATTAAATCTAGGTTAAAATCTAATTATGGGATTGGTGATTCATCTATTGAATCTGTCAGAATAACTATGGACCTCGGAGGTTTTCCCCTACGACCTCTGGTTTACTACAGATAATAACTTTATAAGTAATAAAGCATCTGAAGTATTAAAGTTTTTAAAAACTAATTAGGTTTTAATGATCCAATTGTTTTGACAACACGCTGTATTAATCTTTTGTTTAGTCTATTTTAGAATTTGGTTATGTATACTGTAGTCAAACCCAAGTCAGGTCAATAACTATAATTCATAAAATCCAATCCAAAATAAATTTCTCTCAGTTTAGGTGTCATGTAGAATGTATTTTCCGTCAGTAGTTGACAGAAGAAGTGGGTGCGATTCCGTTTTTATTGACAAACTACAATATATGCCTATCCTTCGAATAGAAGCAATTCTCCAGAATTGCTTGGTTAACTTAATTTTACTTATTGTTAATTTAATATTGCTTAAGTTCTATTTATTGTAAATGTGTTCATTTAAATAAACAACTAAGCTAGGTTAGGAGATTTTTGAAATGTTAACACATTTCGAGTAGATTCGGGGGAGGGGGGGGGGCTACATCAAAATCCGACCAAACCCAAAACAGGGACAACCCTAGTAGTATTTTTTGTCATAAACGAAAAACTTGACGTAACGTAACCTTTTAGAAAGATTGATTTTTTTTTTTTTTTATCACATTCTTGTCTAAATTTTGTGTTTTCGTTTGTCGTGTCGGGACGTTCATTCTTTGGTGTCGACTTTGGCTTTCTTTTTCAACACGCGTTTGACCTTCTTCGCCGATCTAAACAAACCCAATGTCGGCTTAACGTTTAACGGGCCACAGCTGTGTATACTACAAGACCCTTGTCGATATACTTACCCGTTGACGGCATTTGCCGTCTTCGCCTTGGCTTTGGCTTTGACCTTGACCGGCGACGAGGTTGGTTGGCCGTCTTCTTGGATCGGCTGTAACACTCGCTTGGTGGCAACAGTGTTTTTGGTCTTATTGCGGGTTTCCAGTGTTCCAGTGTTAACAGCGACGGCGTTCTTTATCATAAGGGCGTTTTGTTCCTTTCGACTGCTTGTCTTGTTCACCAAGGAGGTCGTCAGTTGCTCTTTTGGACCAATTGCCGCCTGTGAAATCGTCTCTTCTTTCAACACCTCCATTCGTTCGATTAATTTCTTTTTTAACACCCCTCGTTTCCGAGGTTTGTCCGACTTCCCAGACACTTGGCTCCCTTCGGTCGGTCTTCTGTTCGTATGGTTGTTGTTGTTCTGTTTGGCGGCCGACTCGATTTGGCTCTGCAGCCCGCGCTGAACCTTCACTGCAATGTTTTTAGTGGTTTTGCTCATTACGTCGACAGAATTTAGCTACTAAGTTATTTTGATTAATACTAATAAAAAAGCTTGTAGGTGAAATACGGTTTTTATTCTTATCAATATCAATAAATAACTAAGGTTACATGTTACTAAGGTTTACCGTACAGCTTAAATTGTAGCCAATGATCACCGAAGTATAAGTAGGTACTTTTGTTTTCACATAAATGACAAACTAGGTTCACGTTTCGCTGATTCCAACAAAGACGGACTGGACCACAGCTAACTGTCTTTTTTTTTTTTATAAATCGACCATAGTTAAGATAAAATATTCCTAGCAGTTCCAGACCGAAACCAAGCAATCGTTTCAGTCACGCTAAGGCAGCAAACCTAACACCAAGCTGACTCACTAGCAAACTACCAAGTGAGTAGGTACAACTATAATGTTTTATTGATATTATTATGACCTAAACGGTGAATTCCAACACAATTGTAATATTTTCAACCAACATACACTACATTTTGCCATAATACAATTACTAAATATTTTGTGTTATCTAAGAATAAAACATCATACATGCAACAGTATTAAAGAAGGTTTGTCAGCTTCTTCAACATTATGTAACTTATTGACATGTCTTGAAAGCCCAACGCTGCTTTCGTGTAATGATTCTTGATCGTCTTCATATTTTGATAAAGAAGTTTTGTATGATGTAAAAATAAAAATTAAAGATGAAGTAACGTAACACGTTTAAAAATTGTAATATGTTTTACGTTACAAATTTCGTTCTGAAATTTAAAAACCAATTTATCTAACGTTAAATCATAGAGATGTGTGTACCTATTTATGTACATATATTATATTATGCTATTTATTTCTGGCTAGAATTAACAAAACATGAAAATACAAAATTATCTACTAATTTGTATTTTTCAATGACTACTACTTATAAATTATCATCAACAAAATTAAATTAACATATAGCAAATTTTGGAACTATTAAAATTTCTTTTAAAAAATGGCATCTGAACAGTTAGTATATTATGCTAAGTTCGTGCTATGTACGTACAATGCAAGCTAACTATATCTTGTTTTCATTTTAGAAATAAAGCGACTGGATTTGTTCCCGTTTTATATCATTTTCGCGTCCAACCAAAGACCACCGGTAAAACGTATGCACTCCAGCAACCTTTCGCTACACTATGGGATAATCTAATAACAGTGCTTTGGTCGGTGTACGGCAAAGGGTCAAAAAATATACAAATAGGTAATCTTTTATGGACATTGTTTTCCACTTGACAATATGAAAATCCTTGTATTCGATTTCCGTTGGCAGGTATAACTCAGCTACAGTGGGCTTTAGAGTTCATGAAGTGTATGAAAGTGGATTACGGTTATCCAGAGAGTATAGAGAAAATCGTCAACGAACTCGAAGATCAGTTAATAGCACTCTATGCAAAAGTAGGGCAGAAACTACACGAAATAAAAGAAAAAAAAGCTCAGGAAGAAAAAGCACGGAAGGAAAACGAGGAAAATAACGGCGCCAGTAAGTCATGAATTTATTATTGAACTACACCTATATATATCACAAGTATCACCCAGAATCCAAATAATACCCCAAACAACGCGAGGACCCTGAAATTAGAATGCCTAAGCGCTAATCTTAGCTGGCTCGTATAAGGACTTCCTAATTCTTGTTTAAGAATCTTATTTAGACAACAAAAAAATCCTTTAAGATCTCATGTATTATTATTAAGGGTCGTATGAAATCGACTAAAAGAGTTCAATCAAATGTTGGATTAGTATAATATAATGCTGCTTTATAATCTCCAATACCTTTATTTCTATCTTTTCAGTGCCCATTTCATCGGAAATGCAATATGTTTTTTTAATAATTTTATTTTGTTTAAAAAAATATATTTAATTTAAGTAGTGACTTATAACACCAGCCACCAATAGATTAAACAATAGCATTACTTATAACAGCCCATTAAAATAGGGCTCAAGGTATAGAAATATCAAGACTAAATTTGGATATTTCCACTTTCTATGATTGGTTCTGCTTATGCCGTTTATACGTCGTACCTACGACCGAAATGTAATTAATGAAATAGGTAGTAAGAAAGGATGAAATGCTGGTAAAAAAATAAAACTTCCCATAAAGGTTCCCCATTATTGTTATACAAATAAATATGTATTTAAGTTTTATTTTTAAAATAAGATTTTAACAAAATTTTCTTATATAATAAAGTATAAACACTTAATAAATATGGCACTCCCTTAAGATGAAACAATACGTTTATTTTTGCAGACCAAGAAGAAGAGGCGACTGACGAGTATATTTCTTATAACGAAAAGGACATAATGGGCAAATTAGAAGGCATGAAAATGCCATTGGATCCAGAAACGGGCGAAATTAAGTATTTGACGACATTAAATGCATTGGGCAAACGAAAATCAAAACTTGACGAATGCAACGACAAGAAAGATTCGAAAAGTAAAACATCAGTAAACTATTTATTTTTGCGAAAAAATCTTGCAATGCTGATTTTTGTTGATTTTAGATTCTCTAAGCAAGGATTACATGATTGGGGCGTTGAAAAAAGTGTTGGCTAAGCCAGCGGACGATGCCAAAAATGAAGTCGAAGAGTACGAAATAATATATTATAATTTATTTATTTTAAGTAATTAAATCACTGTAAACAAATTTGTTTTCAGGTTGATAAAGCAATTGGAGGTAACTTCAGGGAGGAAATCGAAATAACTTTTTATGTATGTACACGTGGTGAAATGGTTTAATGGTGTACACAAAATACAACAAAACCGATATTTGTGATAAAATACCAAATGTTAGCTTGATATTTTCTGTGAAATCTGGTTTGTAATATATTATCACTGTGGAAATTTTTTTTACTCATACTTTACCAAGTAAGACACGTTGGTTAGTAACAAAGTATTTTTTAAGCGGGTACTGGACTCAACATGTCTTTCTTCGACATCTCTACCCAAATATTGCCCGCTTTCTAAAGGGTTGTTGTGATCACCAATAGTAATACAAAGTGACGGTGTACAACTATGGTTTAGATTATTATCATTCAATCAATCATTGTTCTTTCTTTTTTCCTTTATAAAGTTGCATGCATACAATTTAAATACAGCTTGTATAATGTATTTATTTTTCTCAACTCAAAAGTTGGTAAACATTTTTTTGTTATCTCTATTGACACTTTTTTATTAAAAAAAAAACACGATTATAAACAAGATTTATAAATTATAAAGTTAATTATATTTATTTTGAATATTAATGTGCCCTGTGGTGTTTTGTCCAAAAAGCATTTCCAGTTAAGTTTGTGATAAGATAAATTGATAATTTTCTTAACTTTAATATCAATTCCGAGTAGGCTAGTTCTGGTTATTCTATTATTATTCGAACTTAAACCACGGCTTCTAGTGAAAAGTAGAACAAGAATGAACAAATTTAGACAAAAGAAAATACATATAATTTAAACTTATCATCCCATTTTGCTCAAACACCACACAGTTGTCGCCAATCAAAATGTATGCATTTATAAATGCATTTTTCTCTTTAAATTAATGACGAATGCATTGTTTGTGTTGCACATGAAAAGGGAATAGGGAATGGAAATTTATTTCTCAAGGGCTGGCTTTTACTTGACTTATTTAAGAATACTGTATCTACTGATTCATACCGGGATGGGCGGTCAAATATTATACCGCATCTGAAACTTAAGTCTGCGACCGTCTACTCGATTATTTTTTAAAAGGAATGTTTCAAACACTGCTTAAAGGCTATCGTACAATAATTTCGAGTCCCCTCGACAACCGTTTGTCGACCATTGGTAACGCGCATGTGCAAAAAACTGTGACTAAACAAAGAGCGCTGCAGTCTGCTGGAACCCCACACTTAAACGGCAGACTCCGGCTGTACATGATTGTGTAACGCTAATGGTTGGCAGCACTTTTTTAACCGATCGATAAAATCAAGCGCAACAGCCGGTGCTAGCCATTGTATGTATACAATACACGCGAGTAGTGTCGCAGAGTAGACAGAAAGTCGCCGGTGTCGACTGGCCTTTTTTTTTTTTAGTTATTTCTTCAAACTTGTCCCAAGCCACTTTGAACTTCCCACCAGAGGGATATGTCTTACGATAATTGGAATGGTTACTTCTACCACAATGAAAATCAGGTAATAAATTGAGACACTTATTAGAACAACGGCCAATGAGGTTTTTTTTTTGCAAAATGAGTTTTTCTTTATAAAAATGTAATAAGTAAACATAATTTCAAGGGCCTAATAAGTGTTATATTATAAACCTAAGTACAACTGTGATTAAAAAAGTCTTACAAAGTGAAATATTGTGATAAATGTCTTTAAGTGTTGTAATATTCTCAAAGTTCATACTGTTTTCTATAATATGACACTTTTATTTTCAAGCATGTTAATATAATATTGTGCATTATATATTGGATAAAAATTATACATTTATGTTAATATTTTATAAATTAAATCAACCCTATGAATGATAATAAATTAAGCAAAGTTATAAAGTTTTCATTAAAAAAAAATGTACCTAAAAAAATTGATTTTTGTGTCTCTTGAAAAAACCTAAAATTTGAAATTTGGCCCTTGTTCTAATAAACGTCACTAAATTACTAACATACTAAGCAGGTAGAAAAGAAACAAAATTACGGTATGCTTACTTTTATAGGTGGTACAAATAGAAAATGCGACGATTCTATCGCAATGTGATGACAAACAAAATGCGCCGCTATCGTTAAAAAGTAACTCGATTGAGTGGACACATGCCAGTTATATGTCCAACCTACAGAATGAAGTAGCCCTGGAGAAAGAATATGCTTTATTTCTAGTAAAATAAATAGAATCACATTTGCCAAATATTATATTTTATAAATACTGTTTTTAAATTAATTTTCAGGAGGAAATTGGGAAGATTAATCGTATTGATAAAAATAATTATGAATATGCTTCATTTATAGTAAATTAAACTAAATCAAATTTGCTAAATATTATATTTTATTAATACCATTTTTTAATTAATACTCAGGAGGAAATTGGAAACATTAATTGTATTGAAAAAAATGATTGTAACGCATATGTAACATATGCTCGCGAATCATTCATCTGTACCGATTCATTAATCATCTGTAACGATAACACGGTATGTAAATTATACAATAATAAAATTAATCCAATAGTCTAATTAATGCATAAAACAATTCTGGTACTAAAATATTTTAAAAAATACAAATTTTAAATTATTGTTATTTAACAAATGCAAAATTATACTATTATCAAGTATTAAGATATATTTTATTGTTAATATGAAGAATTAGTCATATACTAGATGCTCTATTAACATGTTATGTTTTTAATGAAAAATAGTCGAGTTGTTGTGAGGTTGAAGATATGGATATCTCATCAGATGATGAAAGTTCAAATTCAGTAACAATTATAAACAACAATAACATTGATTATTCAAACAAAAACAAAGAAATTGAGGTACGTTTATGAAAAATCATGTAATTTAAAAAAATGTATGACTATATGTTACACACAATTTACAATTATCAAGTATGAAAATATATTTTGTTGTCATATGTTAAGTAATCATATACTAGATGCTCTATTAACAAGTTATGTTTTTAATGAAAAATAGTCGAGTTGTGGTGAGATTGACACTATGGTAATCCCATCAGATGATGAAAGTTCAAATTCAGTAACAATTATAAACAACAATAACATTGATTATTCAAACAAAAACAAAGAAATTGAGGTAAGTTTATGAAAAATCATGTAATTTAAAAAAATGTATGACTATATGTTACACACAATTTACAATTATCAAGTATGAAAATATATTTTGTTGTCATATGTTAAGTAATCATATACTAGATGCTCTATTAACAAGTTATGTTTTTAATGAAAAATAGTCGAGTTGTGGTGAGATTGACACTATGGTAATCCCATCAGATGATGAAAGTTCAAATTCAGTAACAATTATAAACAACAATAACATTGATTATTCAAACAAAAACAAAGAAATTGAGGTAAGTTCATGAAAAATCATGTAATTTTAAAAAATGTATCATAATATCTTACACACAATTGTACTATTATCAAGTATGAAAATATATTTTGGTAATATGTTAAGTAGTTATACACTAGATGCTCTTTTAATAACATTTATAAATTAAATTTCAGGAAGAATTTGGAAACATTAATGGTATTGAAAAAAATTATTTTAATGCATATGGAACATATACTCGTGAATCATTTATCTGTACCGATTCATTAATCATCTGTAACGATAATACGGTATGTAAATAATTTACAAACGTATACAATAATTAAATTAATCCAATAGTCTATTTAATGCATAAAACATTTCTAGAACTAAAATATTTTTAAAAATACAAATTTTAAATTATTGTTATTTAACAAATGCAAAATTATACTATTATCAAGTATGAAAATATATTTTGTTGTCATTATGTAGAAGTAGTCATATACTAGATGCTCTATTAACAAGTTATGTTTTTAATGAAAAATAGCCGAGTTGTGGTGAGATTAAAAAACCTATGGTAATTCCATCAGATGATAAAAGTTCAAATTCAGTAACAATTATAAACAACAATAACAATTATTCAAACAAAATCAAAGAAATTGAGGTACGTTTATGAAAATCATTAAATTTAAAAAAAATGTATGATAATATGTTACACACAATTTACAATTATCAAGTATGAAAATATATTTTGTTAATATGATATATTATACTAGATGCTCTATTAATAACATTTTTAAATTAATTTTCAGGAGGAATTTGAACACATTAATCGTATTCAAAAAAATGATTTTAACGTATATGGAACATATGCTCGCGAATCATTCATCTGTACCGATTCATTAATCATCTGTAACGATAACACGGTATGTAAATTATACAATAATAAAACTAATCCAATAGTCTAATTGATGCATAAAACAATTCTGGTACTAAAATATTTTAAAAAATACAAATTTTAAATTATTGTTATTTAACAAATGCAAAATTATACTATTATCAAGTATTAAGATATATTTTATTGTTAATATGAAGAATTAGTCATATACTAGGTGCTCTATTAACATGTTATGTTTTTAATGAAAAATAGTCGAGTTGTTGTGAGGTCGAAGATATGGATATCTCATCAGATGATGAAAGTTCAAATTCAGTAACAATTATAAACAACAATAACATTGATTATTCAAACAAAAACAAAGAAATTGAGGTACGTTTATGAAAAATCATGTAATTTAAAAAAATGTATGATAATATGTTACACTCATGAAAGTATATAGTATATGTATATATATATATATATATATATATATATAAAAAAAACACTTAATTTTTTCGGTTTAAGTGTTAATACTTGCAAACAAATCATAGTAAGATATTCTAGAAACCAGCCACCACCAATTTAATTACCATAACCATCTCAATCCATTATAGTCAATACCAAACTATCTTAAAGAAAATAATATGGAAACTATTAACGTTAAACACTTTGAAAGTGATTGTGTTAATGGACTCTATTTCACCTAATGCTGTCCTAATGTCCTGGTTTATCAATTTCAATTATTCATTGCGTTCCATTACTAAATTTTTAATATATTCTTTATATTTAATGAATAAAATAAGCTTGTATTTAAACAATAAAACAAATTAAATACCTAGTTAATATTTAAACACATTGATTAAGTACAGGATGAACTAGACAATCTTCTAGGTATGAAATGCCAAGCCCCATTCAAATATGGGTTTAGTCGCACAATATTATGTAACGCAGTTATCATATCTTTCACTTTGGAAACCACGACATTTCCAATGTCATTAGATAATGTTCTGGTAGGTAAATGTATTGAAAATGTGGAATATGAATTTATATAAGTGAATTGTTATTTTTTAAATATTTGTGCAGGTGACTGTATTGTTTTTGAACCCTACCAGCAATCCAATGGTGCCTTGTAGGTACTGGGCAGGCAATAAATGCATGTATTCCGATCAGGATTGTGAGTTTTCGCACGGCACCCAAATACCATTGACTAGTATTGCCAATTACATGTGTGTATTCTAGAAATAAATGTAAATTATAATTAATTAATATAAATACACTTACAGAGAGCCCAATTATGAACATTTAAGAAGAGGTAGTCTTGTATTGGCAAATACATTCAAAAACTGTCTCTGGTCTAAAGCGGTTGTATTGGACATCGAGTATGGAACATCAATTAACAACGGAACTTGTGTCGTTCGGTATAGTACCAATGGTTTAGGGGTGGCTAAGGTTCCGATGCATGATATATATCCATGGGTCAACAAATATGGTATGTATTCACATAAATAATAATCTAACCTACCTAATCTCATAATAAACTATAATTTTGTCTAAATAAGAATTTGTGGACTACAACAACATGGGGAAAATATTCGGTCGTAAAGAGACAAAACTAGGGTCCGAGGAGTCCTTAGGCGACTGGGAAAAATACACTAAGGTATACATTTTTTTTTGTATAAACAGTATCTCTCTTTCTCTCTCTCAAAAAGAAAAAAAATAATGCAAATTTAATTTTGCTTCAGCAATTTAACTAGTTGTTGGAACAATTTTTTTTAAAATTATATATTTCTAATCCACGATTTTGTTTGAAATAAAGGGCATCGGTTCAAAAATAATGGCCAAAATGGGTTACATAAAAGGAACCGGATTGGGAAAAAACAATGAAGGTCGAGTAAAACCTGTTGTGGCGACCGTTTTACCAAAAAGACAGTCTTTAGGTAAATTGATTACCATATTACAATATTCTGTTACACTCATGTAAACAGTTTAACCTTTTTAGACCCAACTTTTTACTGTTTGTTTGAGATACTTAAAACTAAGTTTTTCCTTTATTCGTGTTATCAAAACTAGACACCATAATATCGATTTTTAGAGAAATTGAAGAGCAACTTTAAAAACACTACAAAAAATTGATACGAATATTTTCTAACAAATAAAAAAATGTATTTATAAATAATTTAATAGAATAATTATTTTACAAATAGTTTGAAACAAAAAAAAACAAATAACAAATGATTAAATAAAAGATAATTTTTTATTATCTTAAATTATTAAAAAATTTTTGAAAAAATATTTATTTATGTGCCTATTTTTTTTTTACTAGATTATTGCATAGCTGTTGAAAATAAAAATCATCGCACGTATCTTCAAAAAAAGCCGAAGAAATTAATATGTTTTGAAAGAAGTGTAGAATAGTCAAGTCATATAATTTCAAGTTAAGTATACGATCCAATATTAATGTATTGTCGTCAATTCAAAAATTGTTTTAAGCTTGTAAGTGCCAAAAACGACCTTATTACATTTAGCCATTTTATTAAGTATAAAACTTTGGAAAAAAAAGTATGTATATAATATAATTAAAATAAATCATTTTTAAGTGTTATCTTAAAGCAATAATCATTATATTTAATAGTTTGTTTTTAAGGTCTATTTATCTAACTCCAAATTTTATGCTAAACTCACTGAGAGTATCTAATGTGCTTAACTAGGTATTTAAATAGGGACAAGTAGTTAATGCATTTTAATAAAACCATTGGTCTTCCTCTCATAGTACAATATTCATTTGTGATTTGTATCGTACCTGCAGTGCTTGAAACGAACGGATTTATAGGAGCTCAACTCGTTCTCGAATGTTCCAATTATTGTAACATATCTGAAAATAAAGATCTTTTTTAGTGTAAAAGAACTTAACTGAATTTTTGTATTAATATTTTGTCGAGCGTAGACACTTTATTTATTAGTTTTTGTTGTATACGAATAGAAAAAGAATTTCCTTACATTTACTTAAAAACTATATGTGCAATTTACTACTGAAAAAAAATCATGCTTGAGATAGAATGAAAACTTTTTCTTTAAAACAGATTAAAATATGTCTTAGACATGGATAAATGTAACTTTATAGTTTATATTTAATTTAAAAAAAACCTTGTAAAACAATTACCCAGCTATCACTGTTAGGAACTAGTTCAGTTCTTCAAGCTAGTAACAAAAACTGAACTACGTTCTCGTTTTAAAAGATTATATTGTATTACTTTTTTATTTATATTAAAATAAGGGAATAATTTTTTTTTCAATTAAATTCTAATAAGCAATAAAAAATATGTTTTAATTGTTAATTTGATCTCATTATTATCTAATTACAAATTTTGTAACTTTGTGTTGTGATAAAAAAAATATATGTTATAAAAAAAACTTACTTGTATTCTGTTTAAAAATGTTTAAATAATTTGTTCTTAAAAAAAAGTAATGTTTTTTTTATAAATGAACTTAAAACACCCTTGTTAAAGTTTTGAAAATCATGAACCAAAAATTAAATTGTTCTTTAAGTAAAACTGAAAAAATAGAAATTAGTGTCGGTGGAGTCTGAAAGACTGCATAAAGTTTTTTATTACGATTATGAAGTAATAAAAACAAATTTGTAAAGTAAATAACACCTCATAACTGTATAACCACTACCTTTTCAACTTTTTATTTAAATATTAAGTAAACATAAACTATTTTGTTAATAACATAATATTTCAAAATTGGCTAGAAAAAAAAATTATTTTTTTTTACAAGATTGTTATAGAAATAAAAAGTAGCAAACTATAATTATAAATACGTGTTAAAGTATTTATTTACTTTCCAGAACACACTTTTTTTAATGCTAAATTACAGTGTTTTCTTTTAAACGGATTATATTGATTCACCGATTAAATTTTAGCAATAACAGTAAGCAAAGTTTAGTGTTTACTAAATACGATGTGATGGATATAGGGAACACTGGCCGGTGAAGGCAAATTTAATTTGTTTTTTTGTAGTAGTGTATGTCAATAAAATATGGGTCGTTAAAATCAACAATAATGTAAAAACCACAATAATTTATTTGATAAAAAAAAATAGTGACTAGTATGGTAAACTTGTTACTATGTTATGACGGTACCTTGTTAATTGTGTTTTGTGTGTTATGATATTCAAAGTGGCTTCGATGTACATTTTTACGGATCAGTAATAATTGCTGCGTACTCATATCACTTTCAGTCTATTTCGTCATTAGGCTGTCCTAAAATAATACAAAATAGTGAAAATATAAAATAAATAGGTATTCAATTAAAGAATAAATACAAAACGGCATTCAAACTATACATCGGTTATTTTGTAGCTTTAACATTGTATCATTTAGATATTTTATTGGAAGTCGACAATACAAAACGGAAACGAAAAAAATTATTAAATATTAAATAATAGTACAATCACTACTTCTTATAATATTGTGATAAGTAATTACACTACCAAGGTGGATTTATCCTTGTACACTACATTAGAAAAAACATATTATTTTCAAATGCAGTAAAAGGACGTTATAAATGACGTCACGTGACCACCACCAGACAGCGTCTACCTTTGAGCGGCCTCTACCCGCTAATTTATGAAAAGAAAAAAAAATTATTTTAAAAAAAAACGATACATTTGAATTTTGAGTGAATTAACAGTTGAATAAAAAGTCTGTCACTAAAAGTTATATAGGATAATTTGTTTTTATTTCTAGTCGATTGTTTTCCTTGGAAGTTATACATACAGGAATTGAAAATTACGTCTTGTTAACACAAATACAAAAACTTAATTATTTAATTTTGAAGTCAGCGCAACCGAAACCTTAAAATGATTTCCCCCTTCTCTTTTTTCGTTTATTTTTTTCATGTTCTTACAAAAATATTGTCTTGCGCTTTGCGCCGACTTTAAAATTTTCAAAGTTTCCACTCCTTCTTGGGACTTATGATATTTTTTTTGGTTTGTCAACGTTTATCGGTAGTACTAGGTAAAAGACAAAAGATTATTCCTTAAAAATGTAAAAGATGAACGTTTTTTAATTTTCGACACTTTAAAGTGCCTTTTAGATAAGATTTCTGAGCTATAGACTTATGGATCAGATCTACAGATAACAAAGGTATTAACAAATTACAAATATCATATTGATATGGTTTTTTTTCTTAACTATGTTAAAAGCTATGTTTTTTCTTAGCTTTGAGTATAAAAATTCGTAAGTATCTTCTAATTCCAGATTTATCGAACAATTTACTATAGTTTATTCATTTAAATAAAGGTTGATTTGTTTAATAATTATTAATATGTAAATTTTATTATGACAACATATGTCGTGTTCAACAACGGTTAATGGCAATTGTAACAAATCAAATATTTTTGTAATGGTACCAAGTTAAAGTTTCAAAGATTACGGCTCATCTTTTTGTATCATAGATAAGTATATAAAATAGATCGGCAACTCCTATGTAAAAAATAGTAATATCAAAGGAAGGACACTGATAAAAATTAGCACGGTAATGATACTTATCACACAAAAACGTGCCGGCCATTTTCTAAATATGCCATAAAAAATTATATCTATACATTATTATTTTTAGTTGTATATCATAGATATCATTTATTATAATTATAGCAAAATTGGAACATGGACATTACTAACATGGCCTGTTTACATTGTTAAGTGACCCTTCTGCTTTAAACAATTTTGTGGTAATATTAAAAAAGGTTAACGCTCTGACAACTAAATGAGTTTTTATAAAAATTGTGATTAAACATTTTTTGTTTATGACGCAATATTTTTCCCCTTGTACTTTAAGACATAGTTTATTTATTTGTATTTTAATTATTACGTACAGTAACACAAAGTGATTTATGAGTTAATTAAATATATAGGTAGTTTAAAAATAAGCAAAGCACCAAAATGTGTTAGTAATTGTTTAAATAATTTCGAAAAGTCCAATTACTAGTTCGATGAGACAATATGGTCGTCTAAAATGAATTGTGTTAAAATATTTTCATATTCTTAAATACAATTTTTATATTTTCGGTAGACCACGTTTTTTTTTTATAACACGTTTTAAATTAATTAACTAGAAATGTAGTTTATAGAAATAGTAATAGTAAAAAAAAACATTTTAAACAATATACTTACTAGAGGCATATAACAATAATAATAATTTATTTATTCATAATGTAAATTATTTTTGAAAACTTAACATATTATTTTTGAGTTAATCTAATAATACTATTTTAATCCCCTTTCGTCGGTTAGGTAATAAATTTTGATCACCACCGAAATATATCCTTTTATAATTAATATCCCACTGAATGATATAAAAGATATCTAAAGACTGAATTTAAGATAATTATAAGTATTGGTTAAAACTGTTTCCAAGGAGATTATATTTAAAAAAAATAAATATTGTTTTATTTAAACCGATTGATAAAAATATATTCTAATATCTATGTTTTTAATTAGTTTTGATGATTTTTTTCAGAATACTAAATAACCTTTTGAACAAAATCAAAAAAACTAATTTCAGTTTTTAAAATATTACATGCATTATCAATTATCATAAGTATAATATGTTGTTATGTTGTTTCTATTATTGTATTCCATAAAAGCCTCTCTGTTTATATACATATAATATGTTATAGAGCAATAATATTTTTTTCAAAAAAAGTACTTTGTTGCTTAAACCGTTTCAATCAAACGTCAAAACAAATTTGCTTAATTATCAACTTGATCTGGGCTCGGAACAAGGTACCCTATTTTTTTAAAATTATATTTTTGTATTAAACACTATTAACACTGCTTATTTTAGATAATTGCTTAAATGATATATATGTTAATATTACTGTATTAAAATTTCTATAGAATAATACCAAAAATTAAAAACAATATCACATATCAGGTTATGGATAATTTACAATAACATTATGATGTTCCTAATAATTAACGTTTAATGATCAATTTCCACCTTATGTTAAACTTGTTTTTTTTTTCATATTCCATTTGATAGCTAAATACTAAATTACTGTACAATAATACATGTATCATTGGTATATTTATTATAGAGCAAACTTATTATTTATTGTAAGTACAGAAAACTTGTTTTAATCATATAATTTTCATTTTTACAGGCCTAGATTAGGTAAAATGGAAACATACTTTTCTCATGAATTTAGTAAAACAACTAGAGATACATGTACTTATAACAATCGAACAAAAAACAGGCTTAATTTTACTGCGTATGAAGGAATACCAGAAAACTTAATGGTCAATGCTTTAGGATGTGTTGTAAGAATATTTTGAATAGTCGTTGATTCTGTTTAAAATAATAAATATTATGTATATATTTAAAACAAACTTTAAAATTTCATTTTTTTTAGTTTTTAGTGTTATTTTTCTCATTTATGAGAAAAAAAGCATGGAGTTATAGTCAATTAGAACAAGCCAACCACGATCATGAAAAGTATTTAAAGATTTATTTGACCATTATTTTTCTAACTAGTTTAAATAGACAATAATACATGTATTAACAGTAAGTGATTTTATTTAGATGGGCTCGAATTTTTTACGGCAGTTCCTCTGAAAGATCAGAGTATTTAGAAGATGGCACTTCTACTACACTTGAGAGAAATCACACACCATTCGATAGTAGAATTTTTGCTTGGTTTGGTTGGTTTTTAACAATTATGTATCTCGAGTAATAATATTTTTTTGTAAAACTATTACATAGATTAATATTTGAAAGGGGTGGCGCCTTTGGGTTTTATACTTTCCAAAAAAAACCTTCATTCTTAGACAGTATTCATTTTAAACTGGCTTAACAGTTCTTTCTATTTGTATTGGTTTCATTGGCGAGGCATCGAGAAATTTTTGAAGTTTTAAGTGTAATAGACTGTAAATTGTCTTAGGGACAAGAAAATCTTACAGAAATGTGGTTACGACGCAGTGCAATATCTTTCATTTCAATGTCACATAATTGTTTTAATGGGTATTATAACTGTGGTGTCGTTAGCAATCGTATTGCCTATAAATTTTGCTGGTGATTTGGAAGGCAACGAGAGCTCCTTCGGACACACTACAGTCAGTAATCTTCATCCGAAGTAAGTGGCGTTAAAATTAAACGATTGCCATTGTTTCTTGTTTTTATTAATAAACATTTAGTTTTGTTTTTAGTTCTCCGTGGCTGTGGGTACACGTGAGTATTGCAATGCTATATCTTCCATTGACTATATTCATTATGAGGAGGTTTTCTGCTAAGCTAAAATTGGAAAACAACGAACACCATTGGTCTCGTACACTAATGATCACTAATATTCCAAGAAACGATTCAGACATGTATGATTTAGCTCAACATTTTAAGTTAGTTGACTTGTAATTTTCAAAAGTAATACAATTGATAATCGGTTTTATTTTTTAATTATTTTTTAGAGAAGCATACCCAGAATTTGAAGTTGAGAGTATTAAATTGGCTTACGACGTTAACAAAGCAAACGAATTACAACGGTTTAGGTTAATGTCATGATTTATTTGTTCTTCACATTTTAAAACGTTTTACTTGTGTTTAACAGGAATGCTGCTAGTCAAGCCAAACAGTACTGCGATTATCATTTAAAAACAGTGGGTGAGCGTTTGATGATTCAGCCACACATTTGTGGCTACATATTTATTTGTTGTGGACTTCGCACTTCTCACAATTTGGATGCTCTTGAATATTATTCTCAAGAAGAAAGTCGTTTGGACGCTGAGGTACTATGAACCCTTTCAGTCCCCGACATTGTTCTGTTCGTTTAAGACACTTGAAAGTTGAAACCACTTTTTATTTAATCAGCGTTATCAAATCAGGTCGCACATAGAATTTTAGAGCAATTTAATTCAACTTAAAAAACTGATTTGATAATAAAATATCGACACTGCTGAAAATCAATAAAATCATTTTTTGTGGGAAATTTAAATTCTGTGTGCTTTAGTGTTGGTAAATTGATCACGCATTACAACGGATTAACACGCCTTATCAAGTAGTCAAAACTAGCAGGACTATTTTGGTAAAATTAAGAAGTCGATGACTAAAAGTCACTTTACACGTCCATCTCAACATCCTAATTTAAACTTTCTACATATTCCTTTCATATCTTTTAGTTGTTGTTAATTTCCAACACACACTCAAATACTGAAGTCATTCAGTTTAACATTAGGTATATTTTCCCGCAGTTAGAAGAAGAAAAACAATCTGCTCTTAAACGTCCTATGGGTATAGCATTTGTTACGATGACCACATTACGTTCAGCCCGAAAGATTTATCAAGATCATGTAAATAAAATTACTATATTCGAACGTCCTAGGCCACCGACCAGCTCTGTCTCAGACCTTCTTCAGCCGCACAAATGGGTCGTCAAGTTTGCTCCATCGCCAGACGATATTATTTGGTATTTTGACACACATTGGCTGTTTTTAAAATTCTATTTGCTTAATTTTACTATATTTCAGGGAAAATCTAACTGAAACCTATCACAATCGTTATTGTAAAATCATATTGACGAATGCGTTCTTGTTGGGAACTTTATTCTTTCTGACCACTCCTGTGATTATACTGAACCTTTTGGACTCACTGATACTCAGAGAATTTCAAAAACATGTAACTCATCAATTATATACCTTGTTATTTTTAGTTTAAAACATTTTTTACGACCTTGGGTTGTATTGGTTGGCTATTGCTATTTGTTCTCAGACCCCAATTCTATCAGAGTTCATGCCAACGTTGTTGCTTTTGACCGTCACTGCACTTTTGCCCGCTTTGGTCATACGATCTGACGATTGGCTTAGACATTGGACAAGATCCAAAAGGAACCATTCAATAATGCGCAAAACGTTTGTGTTTCTTTTGTTTATGGGTTTAATCTTACCGTCTTTGGGATTAACAAGGTAATGTGTGTGCATTCGGAGATACTATGTAAATATTTTCTAACACCGTAAAAAACAAAATGTCCAGTGCTCATGCATTATTAGAGTTAGCACTTCAAACTGGAATGGAAACGTACCGTTGGCGGTGTGTGTTTATGCCCGATAAAGGTGCGTTTTTTGTCAATTATGTCATCACTTCAGCTTTAATAGGAACGAGCTTGGAACTCATACGTTTTCCAGAACTGTTTATGTACGGTCTTCGACTATCCACTGCAAGGTGAACGCATTATTATATTAGCATTCGTTATATTTCATTTTTTTTTCTTATTTAACCTAAACAATACGACTGTATATGTCCATCACTCAAAAGTATGTTTTATAACTAGTACGTACACTACAATGTTATAATATTACTTAAAATCTTTAATTATTTGTAACTGGTTTAAATTACTTTTGTTAGTCTCATTTGTTTTAAACACGTCAGTACTTTCCCAACCAAATAATTCCAAAATCCTATAATGATTGGACCGCAGTCACCAGAGTGACAAAAAATAATCCATTTTAATATTTTAATCAGCCGTAACTTTGAAGTTTAAACTAATCATATATTTAACTAGCAGTTTTCATGAACTTATTTGTTAACATTTTAATATTTATGACAGTTTCACCTTAACGCTGTTACTCCAAGATAAATTCATAAGCGATTTATACTAGCACGACCTCTTTTAATGAACAGCGACATAATATTATTATCCTTTTAACATGATTTATAGTTTCTTTTTATATGATAATTAATAACCGAATAACAACAACACTTATACACTTCCGCATTTTCATAGTCTACTGACTAAAATGTAATTATGTAGGTAGTTTTTTTTTTTTTTTGCTATTAATTATGTTATCGATATTAAAAATATGTGTTTTAGGTCAAAAGCGGAATCGCACAGTGCTAGAAAGTTAGTTCTTTCTGAATTTTCTTTTGGCGTACAATACGCTTGGATGTTGCTGATATTTACCATTGTAACAGTGTATAGCGTTTCGTGCCCACTTATCACACCGTTCGGTAAGAAGCCGTCATCAGTCAAGACGGTTTGTGTTCTCTAAATTATTGTATTTGAAAGCACCGCGGTTGCGTTTTGCAGGTCTTATGTACATGGTGACCAAACACTTTGTCGATCGTTACAACATTTACTATGCGTTTGGAAAATCGAAAATCAGTAAAAATATACACCGTACGGCCATCAATTGTGTAATGGTGGCCATAGTGCTGTTGCAAGTTAGTTTTACATCGTTGTCGATGCTTCGTTACGGGCTGCATGACATCACGTGGTTCGCGTTGATCGGTCTGATCATTACACTGGCGTTTACACTGTCCCAATGTTTCTACAATCACTGTTCCTCGTGGAGTCCTATACGTTACCAGGTAAACCAGGAAAGCTGTACTTTTGACTCTTCCGCAACAATTGCGGATTTGGTGCGGTCGAATTTATCATTTTCATGTAGTTGAATCAGTTATTTGTACCTAAATCTTTACCTAATTAGTCACCGAGGACGTTGATTCTAACTCGTCCAAATGTCAGTGCTGCGTCGTCTTTGGAATTAGCCGTTTGCAATGCCCAAACCCATGTAGTTGTTTCTTAGGAAACGCGAGGCATGCCAGCATAGGCGTAACTATGGGAGTGCTAAGGGGACTTTAGTACCCCCCCCCCTCCCCACTCAAAATTAGCACTCTCAGAATGTATAAATCAACTGATAGAAATGTCATATTTTTGAAAATTTATCGTACTTAAAATTTTTTTCGGGTTTCCCTTAAAGAAACTTCATTTACTACAAAAAATTGTTATATATACTAGACCGCGCTAGATCTAATTTTTAGTTTCAAGTACTAAAACGACCCCTACAAACCCGAAATAAAGAAAAAGTATAAGCTACTATACAGAGATGTTAAATATAGTTTTTTGGATTTCACTATACGCATCCGTAGTAATTTAATTTAAGAATATCACACACAAGTTTGGAAGTAATTCGATTATTTTTCAAAAAGTGTTAAGATAGTGTTAAGATGAAAAATGTGCACTTTTTTATGGCGTTTGTTTTAGTTTTCAAGCGGAAGGGGTAAATTTAATTTTTATTTTAAGCTTTATTATGTACCTTTAGATACAACATAGGGTAAAAAAAAGATAAGACATCATTGTAAAAATAACATACTTTCAGCTTCGCATCGAAATTTAAATAAAAAATGTAAATTGACATGGTACTGACAAGGGTTTGAAAAATATCCACCTCGCTAATGAGCCACCCTATATATTGTAAAATCGAAAACTTAATTTTAACACACGTTATGTATACAGGTTAGACTTCCACATAGAGATCAAGCTAATCAGTCCACACTTAGCCATATCGCACATGCGGTAGAGTACATTCCCGAAGTGCTGCGACAAACTTTACTAACTACCGTGGCCAACATAAGTACACTGCCGTTGACTCCAAACGATTCTAGTAGCACGTTAGAAGATTTGGAAATTGAGATTAAGAACACCGTACGCCATCATCAATGTTTTTCGAACGGTCAGTCACAAAGTTATGTGTCAGTTTAGGTTATAAGGCCTGGTGACTTAGCAATGGCGGCGACTTTGGTGGAATAGTGTCAGGACCAGGAAGAACTTACAATTAGTAAAAAGTGTATGGCAAAATGGCACTGCTATCTACCGCCGGTTTTACTGATCAAATTAAAAACGGCCAATTGATGGCATAGCAAATGTTTGTTTGAGCGACAAAATATTTACATACCTTATTATTATATTAAAATATTAATTTTTTACTCTCAATATAGTACTAACATGATACTTTATAAATTGCGTTTTAAAAAGTTTATTTACTACATCAAACTTGTTTTTATATTTATACAAAATCGTTTCAAATAAAGTTTTTCTCTATAACTATTTCTGATCTTACGAACCACAAAGCAATCGGTTAAGTAGTTTAGAAGTTATCATGGAATCAGACCAAAAAAAACACTTAATTAATCGCTGAACCTATTCATCTCCATATCGGTACTAAAACTCTAAAAATTATATACAGATTGTCTCTCAGGGACATTGTTATTTTTTAATTTCACAAAAATGTCAGTAACGAGTTTTGGTAAAACCTGAGCAAAATGTATAGACTACCGAGTATACTAATGTATATAAAGTTCAATTAAAAAGTATATTATATTAAAGGATGCCCTTCTATACAATAAATAGTACACTTTTCGTTATTAGCTAACACCGTTTGGATACTACTATTGAGTATATATTGTATATTGTGTATTATATTAATTATGTACATTACTTATGTATATTGTATACTCAATGATACTACCTATTTATTTTTGTTTATTTATTGGTCCTAATTGAATTTAGTGACACTCTTAAGATCATAAACACCATAAAACGCCATTTTTATAAATGACACCGTTTGTCCGTAAATTGGACCATAAAACTGTGCATGAACAAATGTAAAACCAAATTATCTGCTCGAGTATAGTCAAAATCTCAATAAAATAAGGGTTGGAGACATTGTTGAAAAAAGTAAAAGAGCTCGTCCCTTTGAAACTTTCAACAATGTCGCTCTCTTAAGGGATGGAGATTTCAAAATTATAATATTTTATATTATGTTGACCTACTTTTTGCGCCCGAAGCGTCTTGTCCTGCCGCTTTGAGCTTTGGGGAAAAGTCGATATTACAGTGCGACCAACACAATAAGTGTTGTAGCACCACGACGGTGACGCGCGGCAACACTGTCGATGGCGTATGATCGAGCGTTACCAGTATGCTATCCGCCAATGGCTACCGCCGTTGTCGGGCGGCCGTGTAATTCTAACGGAGGAAACGCAGCGGCCATTTTGTGAAAACTGTCGACATTAAAAAGCTTCTGACTTATATGTTTTATATTGCCATGGCCTACCGTAGGCGGCGCCACTGTAGTAATCGGCCTCTTGTATTTCCACTGGTCTTGTCTTTAGTCGGAATTGTATTGATCAGTCAGTCGGTGGCAGTGTCATAGTGTTGTAGGGCATTCGTCGACCCCGGGTCCAGGATTTGCAGTGTAAGTGACAAGTCTGTCATTGGAACTTGAAAGTCTATCTTGTGAAGACTTCCGTTTGCCGTTATGGATATTGCTTTCGAACTTTTCAAAATGTCGTTGAACTATATGTTAGTGACTGATTTACTGAGGGTGGTGGCTCAAGTAATATTCGCCGTATGTTTTTCCTATGCGTTGCAAAAGTTGCTTTGGTATAAGTAAGTTACACTAATGTCCGTTAAGATCTAACTTTTTTAGTCCATAAGCGAATCGTATCGTACCGGCGCGACAGTTTAGTTCCAGAACAGGCATAAACGCGGGTACAAAAAAAAAAGGCAGTGTAGCGGGGTCAGGATTCTTTTGCCATACCATAGTGTTTTTTTTACGGTGATTACGAATCATAAGTAAAAAATTGGCGGATAAAACATCACTCGAAAAAGTGAAATAATGAAAAAGTTTCCACCTAACCTAACCTTTTAGTGGAAGGGGGTTTATTAATTCTTTTCCATATTCAGAAATTATAATTTTTAAGTTTTCAACTCTAATATTACTATTTAATATTATCACGGTTCACGCTGTCTGTCACGTTTGTCTTAGAATCACAACTTTAAACTGTACTGTTATTATATTTTATAAAAATATATACAGCGATGAATATCATCTGTCTCCATAAACGATAACGTTCCTATTCACTCTGTACATACAGGTCCTGGCAAAAGCTCATTAATATAATGGAGAGCGTTAATAAACTTTTGCATACCTACCCCCAGAGATTTTAAGTATATCGAATAAAGAAAATAATTTGATGACAACTAAGGAGTATAGTCTTTTAGCTGGCTATGAAAATATACAGTTAATGCCTAATGTGTACTATTAAAGTTAAAATAAAACTGTGCTCTTAGTTAGGTAATAGTTTTTCTTTGATCTATCGATAATCGTGCAATCGTGTACCACCGGAAATCACTATTACCTAAGTCCTGATTATATAGAAGGGGGTTTTAAAGTACATGAGAAGACCATAAAAAAAGTATAATTAAATTATGTAATTGTAAAGTTATTTCTTTACTTTGGCAAGGAGTTTGACGCGAGCGTTATTAAAAAAAAAGACTAACATTTTAATTGAATTTTTATAGAAAAATATTATAGTTTGACAACGTTCTATTGTTGTCTGTGAGTTAAAAATACTAAATAGTAAATGTAATACTAATACTGAACTGCTTGTGTTAATTTGTATCAGTTACTGCAGACAAATAAAAAACCTAAAGCGTCATGTACAGGAATCCCATTTGCTTCTGGACCCACTGGTTTACCCCGCGAATCCAGACAAAACCAATCAACACCAGTGGATGTATTTAAGAGTAATGTCTCCAAGAACTTGTTACCTATGCATTTTCATACGTACATAATATACCTTGACAATATTATTACCTATTTTATTAGATGGAGCGGTTGATCGGAAAGATGTCTGCAGATATTCACGTTGTGAATCGCGTCAAATTTTTAACAGGAAAATTCTGTAAAGCGGTTTTTGAAGGTAAATGGAAAAATACTTTCGTGCATGCTTTATGATTAAATACTCGTCTAATTATGCGTTACTACTCTTTAGACTATGAATTGCTTAATTGGATATCAATGCAAATCGACGTCCATAATGAAGGTTTGAAAGTATACTACAATAATTATTACTAGTAGATATATAAATTCATTGCTTGACGGGCCCCTCTTCTCTCCTTCTGGCCCCTGGACAAAGGGCAACCGAGAATTAACTAATGTTTTCACGTTTTCAATAAAAAAAAAAATCACATTTTTTATTATTAATTTTTTTAAATAATTTATTCGGTAAATCGAGTTTTAAAGTTGTGTCGAATTTTGAATGTATTAAATGTATTAACCTATGTTTCTACTTTTTTCACAAAAAAATTATTCACAATCTCAAAAGCAAAATCATCAACTATTAAAATGAAAATGCGGATTTAACTCAACAACTATGTTGAAATTCTACATTATTGACTCTAGGAACAGTTCTAAATGCCTAAATTGCTATAATATGTTATTAGAATACCTTTTTTTATACATTTTACCAAGTCGAGCACTGGATAATATGTTTAGCATACTTAATAATTTTTTAGTACATTATGTATTACCTATAATATTTAACTGTTTTGTGATATTTGATGCAGCCGAAGCCCGACACTTGGCCACTCTATTAGTGTACTATGGATATGTACTTCCGGTTCATGATCGTTTTTTGCCAGTCCAGAGGAACGGAGAGTTTTATAGATTCCAAGTATACAACACATTGTTTTTAAAATTTGATTAATTTTTTTTTTGTTGAAAAATATAAAACTGACATTTTAATTTTATTTACGTTTTGCAGATACCGAAATTCTATCCGTCCATTTCCTACGAAATAAGGGACGAAGAATACGGTAAACACAAATACAAACGTTTTAACAAGATTACTAAAAGTCACTTTAAAAAAAATTGGTCTTTAAAAGTCACTTTTACACGTCACTTGTACATAGATTATTAACGCATAATTATTTTTACCTATAAAAAAAACATAGGGATTGTTTTTGCTTTAAGATAAAATTATTAATGTTTTATGATAAACAAGAACGAAATAATAATTACAAAAGTTTTAAATTTACAAAAAACTACAAATTAAATCGTTTTTTTAATTATCATACATTTTTAGAAACTAACTCAAAAAAAAAAAAAAATTTTAAACAACATTTTAACAAACATTTCTATCCGATTTTAATTTTACTAAAATTTTTCAATAACTTATAATAAATGTGCAATTGAATTACCTATGTATACACATAAAAGTATTACTTACCTATAATTTCAAAAATTCATAGCTCGTGAACGGGTCGAGATAAAAATGTTTTAAATAATCAGTGATGCATTTTTATGAGTTTTGAGTGTAAAAATAATATTTACAATAAATCAACGAGTATTTGTCGTTTTACACGGCTGAAGTAAATTGACTCCTTAAATACAAAGTATATACAGTACCTATACAGTTACATACTTGGCGTAAATACTTCTTAAACTTATTTAGCTGTATGTATTAGAAGAGCGAAAGAAAGAGAAGGTCGACTTGGGAGATGGGAAGGAAGGAGTATAATCTACATAGAAAATCAAAACATTCTCTAACAATATACCTAACACTATTTCAAGATCTCGCAAAATCCTTTCGATTTTTCTTTAAACTCTTTCTGGCTTTCTTCAAGTTTTGTTTCACAACTGCAACGACCCATCGACCAATTCTTATCAATCCACCTATTTCCATCTCACTTGCACTGCTTGACTTGAGGTTTTCATCACTTCCCTATTATGGTACACCTGACATATCGTGTGTGAAATTGTATATTATATAAGACGTCAAGTCATATGAAGAAGTATTCACTTCAAAATGCAACAACTTCAAATCGGGTTAATTTATACATTTTTCCTTATTTACTTTTTTTCTCCCATGTATTAGTTACAAGGCCTGATCAAGGGGTACTTGTCTAACAAGTTATGTTACTTGCATTTTGTGTCATTATATATATAATTTTTTTTATATATTTTTTTACAGCTGTACATTTAAACGTTAGAGTTATGAGTTCTTCAAAGTTGGCCCGTTACGAGAAGGAAAATCTAGCGAAACTCAAAGAGAAGTTCTCCGATCACTGGGATGAGATTCTTAGATGCGCTAAATACCGAAGCACAACGTTTCAAGAAATGGATGACACAGATAGTGAACTGTTTCAATTTCGAGAAAGAGCTTTTTGGAACGTTCACCGACCGAAGGTGCGCATTAGCCATTAACCCGATTTGGCACTGCCCAGTTGGCATGCCTGCATTTAGGGTGTGTTCACGGTGGACCGTTGCCCTTGTGACGCTAGCACAAGGGGGTAGTAGGTGGATGGGTTGGCGGCATTTTCAAAAGTATTGTGAATGCTATACTTCAATTTTGATACTTGTATAAAATAATTCAAAACATGAGAGTTTAAAAAAAAAATATATCACTGAGCTCTACCACAACGATACATTTCAACAACTATTGCTTCAATTGAATTTACACAATAGCTTTTGAACGAATCATTTTGTTGGTCTTACCGTAAGTTGGGTCATAGGATAAAAAATATGTTTAGATGCAATCTAGGTGGGTACTTTTTTTGTGATTCCATTTCCCTAAAAATTAATAACTATGTACTGTTATTAATATTGTTATCATCCAAATAACTCGGACGCCACGTTATGGCCACAGTGTCGGCGTCGTTTTGAAAATAATTGTAAATACTTACTTAACAATACAACTTTTACTTTGTAGCCGGGCACTTTTCACTCTACGGAAAAAGATTACAGGAAATTAAAAGCGTATACACCTCAGAACTCAACAGAGACTGATGAAACAAACGATGACACGACAAGAGAGGATGTTAGTGAGCCGTTAAATCTGGACCGCCGTAACATAAGTCAATCGCATCCCGGAAACAAGTGAGAGAGTCTTGACTTCAAAATCCAAGTTTATTAAATTAATGTAAACTAGTATATTTGAAACGAGGTCTTTTTAAACACATTATATTATCCCATGAACCTAATTTTTAGGCTCAGTAGTTTAGTAGTTAGGGATTTTCAAGTATTTATTAACTTCAAAACAATTGGTATAGGCATCTAAATGTGTCTTACTAGCTGCTATCCAGGTAAGTGGTTATCTATAGGTTACCACTTACCATTCCGGTTAATAATTTTATCGTATACTCAGTTCGTATTTTGTGATGTGTAGATTTTTATATTTTTATTTAATAGAATATTTATTATAAAATAATTAAATATATATAAAAAATAAATATACATTTATTTTTACCACACGCATTATACTACCATAGATGAGACCTTAAAAACACGGTGTTCAGCAAGCATCATTTTGTTCTTTGCCAAAACCTTATCCATATTTTAAACGTCATTAGTAAAAGTCAAAATAAAAAAACAAATACGAGTAGCATTTTCTAATTTACCGCGTTTTCTTTATAATAAGGTTATTATATTCAATCAATACTTACTTTTTTTTCAAAAGACCCAATTGGTAAAGTCTCTATTACTATTTTTAATTTTTCTTTGTTTTCAGTCATACTCCATACTGCGTACAATATGCTGCTTACGATCCGTTTGTCACACATCCTATATCTTATAATTATTGGTTGGTAAAGAAAATTGGAATTTGGAAAACCAACAACGACCAGTAAGTCAAACAATCAAGTAACAGAGTTGAGTAAAATCCGGATTTTTAGAATTTAGAAAACATTAAACCAACTATATATTTTATATAATTGTATCCTATATTATTGAACAATTGTGATTTTTGATTTATTCCATAGCCGAATTTGCCGCAACTCTGTATTATTTAATAGATATGACGTGTAACTAATTGTAATGTTCCTGTCGTGTATTATATATAATATATATAATATGTAAGTATCAATTGTCTGATTAAACAGACTAGCGTTGAGCAGCTGCAGAACAAAACTATGGGCGTTCAGTTTGAGAGATATACTGTCAGATCCAGTCGGCAAAGATAATTTCAAAATGTTTTTGGAAAAAGAGTTCAGCTATGAAAATCTCAAGTAATAACTGTAAAAAAAATTATTTTTATATTCCGCAGACCTATGTGAGCTCATTTTTTTCAGTTTTTCCCCGTTATTTACCGTACATAAAAATGGTGATGTCGATTGTTTTGTTCAAAAATCTTCTCATTCAACACTTTTTTTACCTTTGAAATGGAGCCTAGACGTGGTATTGGTTTCACAAATACAATGATATATTTTAATTTTTAATTTCCCCCCCCCCTTTTTTTGTCTGGACCCACGACTACTTTTTAGCCAACCAATAAAAAATTTCAGTAGATTATTCAATTTCAAATTATATTGGCATAATATATTATGTATAAATAATACGTAGGTATTTTATTTTATTACTAAGTACGGTTTTTTTTTTGGCAGATTAATATTTTTTTAAGCTTGTGAGTTTCTATTATTGCGTTATTTAATTTAATTTTAGAAATACTGATATTTTAACAACAAAAAAAAGGGGGAAGGAGTTGCAATTAAAAATATTGATTTTATTTTAAAAATTGTAATGGGAAATTAAGAAATCAACATAAAATTTAGGACACTATTCGGTCACTATTTTTATGATGTCGAATATTATATTACTAAATTAGGCTTCTTAATTTTGCATGCAGCTGTTATCTAATAAACAGGGTTAATTAAATAAGTTAGTTTAGGTCGATGAAATAATTGTTTTAGCTAAAAAAATATATGATAATATACTTAATCAAGTTGAAATTGCTATGTTTAACGGTTTAACATAATTAAATGTACCAATTGGTGTATATTGCTAGTAGAGTTTTAGCAATTAATCCTTTAAAGCTACCCTTTAATATGATATTTGGTTTCCTTAATCGTGTGTTATACAACTTTTTTGCGCCATTCGATATAACGAGGATTTGATTTCGAAATTGATTAGCTTACATTGTAAATCGCTAAATACATGACGTGTAGATTTTAAATTTTCAAGACAAAAACCTTAATACCTATTTCTGTACGGTAGAGGTTCGGTTGATTTTTGAGGAAAAACATAAAATTATTTTAATTATTCAAATCTAATCGCGTTTTGCTTGTGTAGATTTTGGGACGCAGTGGTGGAATTCCAAAAGTTGCCCTTGAGCCAAGTCGCACAAGCCGCCCAAGACATTTGGACTGAATACATAGAGGGCGACGGGATCAACATCGATTCTCATTCCAGAGAAGTGACCAAACAAAATATGGCCTACCCGAATAGATACACCTTCGACGTGGCCGCTGTACGTTATTCATATTTTTCACGATGATATTTACCCTATCCCCTGCAAGTAAAACATCAAAGCACCTGTTTTCACGTTGTAGGTATTATAAGTAGCGTTTGAGGTCTGAAATATTTCACCATTTTGATTTTTATTGATTATTATTTAACTATTTGGCCCTACTGCCTTACATACATCATATTACATCTGGTCAATTTGTACACTGTGTTTTTGTTTTTGTTAATATTTTCTTTAATATATTTTATTTTAAAGGTCTACTTTATACCTAGATATACAATCAAAATTAAAAAAAAAATAATAAGTAAATACTCTTTCAAAATGTTTTTATACGCATAGGTAAAAAGAAGAATAAATGTTTCTAATAATTAAATTAAAAAATCACATCACATCATCCAAAAAATGTCCAATATCTTCTCAATTCTCAGCGTTGAAGCTAAAGAAATGGTTGCTTTGGTCTTTTATTGCAAGTGGCTTCTCAATTGAATCTCGTCTAGATGACACGACATATTAGATAATAACAACTGTTGTTTTGCTAATATCAAATTGTGTATTAATGTCGTCAGAAACATGTCTATCATTTGATGGAGACGGACAGTTACCAAAGATACCTCAAGTCAAAAATGTACAAAGACAAAGTCGAAGAGAGTAATGCGAATATGAGGTACTGTCTCGCGAATAACTTAATACAATTTTGGATAGGTACTAAACTTTTTTTTTTTTTAGTATATCCGTCTGGGAAGTACTTCGTTTCTACACAAGACGTGGCTAGTGGCAACGTCTTAATCCAACATTCGATGATAGTCTTTAGGTACTACATAATATAGTACTATAGTAGATTGATGTTAGCAAGTAGATGAAATATGTACGTAGAACTTAGAAAATTTGTAATAAGGTTTTAAAAAAATTTGATTTAATTACTAATACGTAGAAATAATACAATGTTTACATTATATTCAATCGCTTTCTTTTAATCTGTTTAAAATATAATACAAGATGTATTAAATCATATTTCAACTATACGACTTATTTTGGTTAATTTCCTGCTACGTTACCCGAAAACGTTGTACCTAACATAGTTAGTCCAAAAAAAAAATAATAATCTAATAAATCTGAGTTAATACTAATACAGGTTTTTACAAGTTGGCAAATAATATAAGTAAAAAGAAAAATCTGTTAAATATATTTTTGAGTGGATTTAGATAATAACTAAACGTGCTACAAACATCGGATTCGGTTACAACAGAAACAGAAGTGTTCTGTATTTGTATAGTTTTTGGCGTAGATTACAAGTGTATCGTTATTTTGCAGAGGTATTTTAAATTACCAAGTACATAAAAAGATTTATAGTAGAGTTTGGTTACAGAACAAAAACAATGTTTTGATATTTTTAAACGGTTTAACAACCAATATACATATATTTATATATCAGGATAAAATTATGACATTTATTAAAACAAAAATCTAATAAGTAAAACATAGTAAACAGTGTATATTTTTAACAATAACATAAAAAAATAAAAATACATTGGTAACAAATTACTAAGCGCAAATAGCGATTAATAATGATAATTAATAGCCTTAAAAATGTTAAAATGTCTTTGAGGCGATATCGCTCGACGACGCAGTTAATCTACGCTGGGCAAACTCTTCGTTCGTAGAATGGACGATTTTCGGGTCATCGGTGGAATTTGCGACTTCCACTAATTTCCTATAGGTCGAATGGTCCAACATCCTGTGTGTCGACATATACCTTTATTTAAAAAATGAAAAACTCAAATTATTTATGGCAACTTGTTATTTAAAATTAAAATACAAAACCTAAACACGTAATTGTCGTACAAAAATTAATACACCGTTAAAAATATTACTTATGTGCCAAGTCAAAACTAGATTTATACCCAAACTGTTCAAACATTCAACTGGGAAATTTTGTCTTTTTTTTTATTGATCTGGATTAATTATTAAGCTCAACATAAAATATTTAGTAGGTTGTATGGAATTGTTTGAAAAAAAAAATGTATTTAATAGCCATTTATAATTAATCTTAATTTTTATTAAAATAAAAATGTATATTAAACAATTATTTTCTGTTATTTAATAAAAAACAAGGCAAAAAAAAGATGAAATTTTTTTTTTATTTGCCTAAAATTTACAGCAAAATTAGGTGACAATAATAATACAACATTTTGTTGGTCAAAATATTAATTTTTGTTTATTTGAAAACATAAAAATGATTAACATACTCAAGTATGTACATAAATTATTAGGTATTATTGTTATGGTTAGCAGTATACTACCTCATAGCAGGAATGACTTCTTTTCTAGACAACAACACTTCTGCGATTTCTTCGTGAGCCGTATTGAGTCGGTGCAACATGTCCAAAGCGATTTGATGTGCCGGAGGATAAAGCGTTTCCAACGACAATAGTAGACATGCCTAATGAAACATAAATTGAACAACTAATAACATTCAAGTTGAAACATTTTTATTTTTTAATATTATTTAACAAAAGCTCGGTTGCATTTTCCAAATCTAACGTAGGTATTGTTTCGACAGGCGTAATAAAACTACCTACTACTTTTTATACTTACCAAAGGCTTAGAGTCGGCGAAAATATGATACTGTACCATTTGATGTAGTTGATAGTACATTTTGTTCATTACCAAACAATTTATGAGCAATTCGTACAGGAAATGTTCAACCGTTATTTTAGCGTCGGTTAACGATCTTATATACTCGACTAGAATGGAAACGGCGTATTTCCTGTCACCTGGTAATTTGAAAGTATATTAAATTTATTATAAACTCAATACATATACATATTTATACTAATATAAAGCGTGACATACTGTTTGTGTCGTCTAAATGGTCTACTAGTTTAGTGAATACATTTTTGTATACATCAAATTGTTCGACGACGACTTTACATCGCAACGATTCGGCGACAATCATAAAGTCGTGCGACAACGGACTGTTGACCATTACGTGAGTGTTCAGATGTCTTTTGTAAACAATGTTTAAATGATCAAAGACGTTGCCGATCTCGATCATATCACTTTTCCTGTGTAGAATCATGTCTTGTAAAACCTAAATCATATTTCATTGGACGGTTAGCGTTAAAATTCTACTCAATTCAACAACTCGTCTCTGACTAACAAAAATATACAACATAATTAAATTTCTCTCAATATACATTTCAATTTGTACAATATTATTCTGTTTAAAATATAATTTTTAAACTGATTATTTGATTTCCCTTAATGTAATTGACAATGTAAATACCTCCATTATACTTTCTTTGGATGTCGACCGCAACAGAAGGAAATCGATTAACGAGCATTTATTAAGAAAACTTTTTGAAATCTCGGTTACGTTCAATTTCAAATGCCTGAAAATGAACAAATTGGTAATAATAACTATAATATTACAATGGTATTTTTAAAAATTTTATTACAATAAAGCAACAATTATTGTTAAGTCTTGAACATCCGCAGAAAAAATAACATAATATAATAAATGTGATACTTAAGAATTTACCTAATTGAGTTTAATAAAAAAAAACATTTTAAAGAAGTTGATTTTATTAAATATTAACAGTAATTGTATAATGATTTATATCATAAGATGTATACATACCACAAGTATCCAGATTTTGCATCGATGATAATATTTGGTTGAAATGAAATGCAAATGGCGGAATCTATGTTTTTTTCATCATTGGAAAATAAACTACCACTGTTTTAAATATTACACGAATTAGCAGAATTTTTAAATTCAAATATAATATTTAAAACTGGCAAAAGAAATGTTTTAAATGTGCCTTAAAATTAAATTTCAAATATATTTTTCTAATTAGTCAACTTCTCTTCTGTTATTTATGTTAAATATAAATCATTTCATAGACAACAAATAATTTGATACCGTTTTATTTTAATTTTTGTTTCCCTCAACAAAACCGTTTGACTGCTGATTTTTAAAAATTAAAAAAATAAATTATAACATACTTATATATTTTATTATACTTTTTAAGTGGATAAATATCTAACTCTGCTTGGTCAATTGAGAAATTGATAATATTGTAAGAGAACCTACAAAAATACTGCAACACAATAATTCTAAAAACATATAATAATGTCTACTGTTTCCATAAAATAGCATATGTTAAATGTACCACCCTGTATATATGAGAAAAAATGAGTCTACTTAAAATCACAGTAAGTAAATAGTAACAGGTAACATCAATATAACATTTTATAAAAAAAATTGTACTTGTAATCACTTTTTTTAAACAACAGATATTTTTAAAAATATAAAAAAAAACATTTGTGGTTTGAATAGACGATTTGGGTTTTATTAATTAATTTAATAGTGACCTAAATTTAGGTAATATTGCTGAATATTGCAAATGGCAGTGTTAGGTAAAATTTAAATCAAATAATGAATACCAAAACATTTTGGGAAAACAGTTTTTCTCAATAATAATAAATGACATTTTTTTCCTTTAGAAAACAAAATTATTTTCAACACGATGACTATAGTAGATAATCTGATATTTACTAAATTTATTTAAATTTTTTTGTTTAGTAGCTATAAGGCATGCATGTACCATTATTATTATTATTATTATACAGTTTGTTGTCTTACATACAACATGACCTATAGAAAATTTAATTTAAATTTCAATTGTTAATACAAATATGGTTTGGGCCTTTATTTAGATAAAAATACAATTATTTTTATAATTTGAATCTTATATTAAATTTTAAAAAATATTGTTTAAATAGTGCCCAAGTCGAGATTAAGCACTTATAATCTTATTTTTTGTTTTCTTCAACAAATATTGTGTTGACTGAACGTTATTTAATTTAAAACAAAGTAATTAAATTTGTAAAAGGATACAGATGTCGGAGATGCGTTGTAGATCATTTTCTTTGGAAAACGATCGTTGAATGACGACGTTATCTAAAATTGGCAAATAGCACGGTATAGTGTTTTCTTTAGCGGCCTCCATGTAAATGTCAAACACAGAAGAACACTGAGAAAAAATGTTAAATGACACTTTTTCTCCACTTAAGTTAAACTACAATATTGTTGTCTCTCACTTTTGTATGTTGATAATGAACGATAATTAAATTATCCACAACGTTTATTAACAGTTTCCCATTGTAGACGAGCTTCAACACGTGAGATTTTTTAAATGTCATCATTCTGTAAACATATTAGAAAGAATTAACGGTGCAATGAGTAAAACATTTTTAAAAAACAAAATAATTATTACTTGTTCAGAGTGTAGACAATGATTTCGTTTCTACTCTGGTTAGTCGGCAACACCAACACTCTGAGAATGTTGTAAACGTTTGTCAAGACTATGTTTCGTTCGCTAATTATTTGGTTACGTAAATTGGACATGTTGTCAAACTCGACTGTAAATAAATGTAAAAGCATAATAACTATATATTTAACGACCATACATCGTTCGGGAATCAATGAGTCGCTCGGAAAACAAACTTTCTAATTTGGATAGTTTGGCGACGTTGCCGGGGTGAATGTGAAGCGGTTGTACGTCGCCAAACGAGTTTGTCGACAACAGCAAAATTTTGTTTTGCGGAGAATACGTAAACCAATTGATGGTCAAGTTGATGGATTTCAAAAATATAGTCCTCTGTTTCGGTCCTAGTCCTTCGACCTGGTCAACAGTGGAATTCATTCGTATTAATTTTTTTTTTAAATTAACCAAAACTAGCTTAAAATAGATTACTACCTGATAGAGTTCTACGCCCTTGTCGCTGATCAACAATATTTCACTTTTGCCAGTCCAAATGAACCCCAACAATTTGGCCGCTTTAAATTTGCAATACAGAAAATAAGGACTTTCCAAAGTGTTGTCTTTTATGTCCATTAATTCCTAGACAATATCCGGGTTACTAACGACAAACACAATAGACAATAATATTACACGTCTTACGATGGATAGCATCGTTCGCATCATTGTCAGAATTTTGCTGTCCATAGACAATTTAATTGACGACACGGGGCCACGGTCTTCGATTTTAAAAACCAAGTTCTCTCTACATCGGGTACACGATGTGACGATTATTTCTGTCATTTCCCCGGAATGCACCGTGATAATCTATGAAGAAAACAATAATTAAATATGTACAAAGAACATCTGCACTGTGGCGGACTACCGTTATTCGTTACCTGTTCGGTGACTTCATCGTAGAAAACATTTGTGGTTTTGCTCACGCTTACGGGATCAAAATGAATAGGATCGTCGTTCAAGTTGAGAAAATTATTTTCTACAATAAAAGATTTTTCCATGATTTCGACGATACCTTAAAAACAAGTGATGGATTGTTTAACGATAAAATAAGCTCAGCTATTCATGAGTACAATGATGCTGTACTTGTATGTAATTTTAGTAATTTATTACATTTAAAGTAACATCATGAACGAGAGGAACGTGTATAACATTGTACATTTGTGAAATGTTAGAAAATGACTTGGCATTCTAGTATTAGTCAAACAAATATCTGGTTCGATAAAGTATGAGTTACAGGAAAGAGGGTTTATGATTTTCCCGGCAAATACATTACCTAGTCCTTCTGGAAGTATTTCACAAATGTAATGTAACTTATGTAATCTAAGAGAATAATATTTTGCTATTTAATTTTTAATGAAAACAACACAAATACTATTGGAATTAACTAAAAGCCATTGACGATTTACCAATGACAAATTACTAAAAGAATACAAAAGATGAATTCAAAAATATTTACATAATAAGTACAAAAGTAATAGTATTTGTAATTTGTATTGCGATTTGTGTAATCTATTGAATTTCTGTACTGTGGTATTTTGATAAAAGAACCTTTCTAGATAAGATAAGATTTCCGTGGAAGAACAATACAGGTATGCCAGCGACCAATGTGATAACCGAAAATGGCCGCCACGCTTTTCGGGCCACCAAGGTAACCGGCAGCCATATTGTGGAAATTGATAACACGAATGGCTGACATACCTATGAACTTTTACATTCAATGATCACTGCCGGAAACGTTATCATACTTTTTTAGCGGCTGATTTTTTGAAAATTAATATTTTACAATATATTATTAAAAAATTCAATAAAACAACATTCTCCGGGCTGAGAAAACTAATGTAATTTTTTGTTTATAATAATTGTCACTTTAAATACTAAAATGAACTATAATAAAATGCTTTCGAAATTTTAGCAAGAAAAAAACGATACATTATATAGACACATTTTAGGGCGTTTTTCGAACGATTTTTGTTTTTAACCAAATAAAAAACAAAGATGTTAAAAGTTGATAAATATTTTTAATTAATGTTGGGAGTTAAGTTATTTAAGACAAAAAAAAATTGTTTTTTATTCTACTTTCTTTAGTGAATAATTCAGACCTAACCTCAGAATTAGTGTAGCATTGTTTTTATTTTTGTTTATGCGCAAAGAAGAAAGTACTGAGACTTTTCGTTACTGTTAAATTAAAGTGAACTTTTAAAGTTTAAAATGTAAAATATCAGACAAAAAACAACTATACCGAAAAAAAAGCCGGCCCGAAGTTCTTTTAAGGGTAAATAATAAGACAAATGATTGCAGATTTAAGTCGTGTAAAATTGTAATAGGACATAGTATAAATATTAGACTTTTATTTATTATATTTTTCCATTAACATGAGCAATTTTTTTAAATTACTATGACAAAAGTTTAAAGATTTCCAATTTCAACACTTAATTTAGGTTTGGTCCAAAAATTTACCATAAAACATAGAAGTAATTAATTAAAATTAGTATTTAATAATACATTCAGTAAACCAAAGCAACGATAGAGCTCAAAAATTATTATCTGTAACAAAAAAAAATAAATAAATAAATAAAGTCTCTAAAGTAAATTTGTCGTTTGTAATTCAGTTGGTGTATTAATCATAATAACTCTTCATTTCACATTGTTTATTGTTTTTACCAAACCAAAAAAAAAAATCCATTATTTTTTTTAATACATAATTATATAAATAATAATCTGGGGAAGATATTTAAGTTTACATTAATTACTAATTAATTTAACATCACAATCAACAACCTAACGTAGTTAATTCAACAGCCAAATATAGCCTAATTCTTTATTATATAAAATATAAATTTAATATGAGCTATGAATATAAAATAAATAACAGCCAAAAATAAATAAGATTATTAGTGATCTTTAGTGGGTAAAAAACCGTACCCTAAAAGATGTGTAATAAAAATTAAGCCCCAAATATTTTTTGATTATTTAAATATGTATGTAGAGAAAGTCTTCAAAGATTTATTTGGCAAAACGCGATCATTCATCAGACCTGAAATATATGTATATTAATATGATTAGATTAATATAAAGTTGTTAGCTGAAAAGGTTCATACAATAATTAATAGTAGACAAATATATTATGTAGTCAGAATTATTACTTTACAGAAGTTTTGTTTTAGACAATTAACAGTTAACTGTTGGAGAAATGTTTTTAACGTTTTATTTGTAATCGAGTATTCGATTTTTTTTTATTGCTTTTTAAGTTTTTAAATAAAGTGTTCAAAATATACGTCTATGTTAAATTTAATTTACAGTATTTTTAACATAAACAAATTTAAACCTTGTTATAGTTTAATCAACGTTCCATTTCAAACCCAAAAACTACTCAAAATGACAAAAAAAAAAAAATTATAACATAAATTGTTTTCAATTTAAAGGGTTTTGTAGATTGAGATTACTTATAACAGTAACGCACAGTGAGAGGAATTAAACTTTTAGCTGGTCAATAATATAATTGTGCACAAGAAAAAATACCAGAAGTCAAAATTTATTTAGTCTAGTAACATAATGTTTAAAAATGTTTGAAAAAGTTGAAGAAATGTTGTTATATGTTTAAACAAATTATTAAAAATGCTTAAAATACATTTTATTGAATTATATGACACCAATTTATAAAACTTCCAATTAAAAACGATTTTTAAGTTGATCTTTCAATGTCAATTTTATCTACATATAAGAAAATAATTTAAAAAATGGCTATTAATTTAAATAGTGAATTAGTAATTAAAAATAAAGGGAAATTTGAGCAACTTTCTGATATAGTATTAGTAAGTATACATAATTGTGTAAAAAATAATAATTATGGTAACCCCCAAGAGCCCTTCCAGAAATCTTCTTACTTATATTTAAATAAAGTAGAATTTCTGTAATTACATGATATATAATATATGCCTATTTTTTACATTCCAATAAATAATATTAATACAAATGAAAACACTTACTCGGTACTATATATCGATCCATTTTAGAAAAAAAAAATATATATATTATTTTTACAACAAAAATAGCTAAATAACTAAAATTTAAAACACAAATGCACGTGCAACTGTGCTTGCATTGAATTTTACAACCAGAATGAGCCTTATACCTATAATAATATTATCTGCTCAGTACTTAATGATTACTATATACTACATTGATATATTTATCATCATCAGGTATGTGATAACAAATAATAATGGTTATAATCAGTAATTACGATACTAAAATTTTCTACTTTTGGGCCAGCTAAAAGAAGATGATTCCTCCCATTGTGTAACGGCTGTTTCCAATTGTTTTACTACAACCCTTAAAATCCTGGTAAAATTTGATTAGAAATGATAATTAGATGTTTTCTTTCGAGCTTTTGCGATAGGTCGGATCGGTCATTGTAGAGATCACCTTCTCCAGTTATATTCTTAACTTGGTGTTAAAAAAATAAAATCAACTAATTACAAGGGACCAGTTAAACATATCAGTATGTATATATATATAATCGAAATCTATTTTGTCAAAACCCGATCAGAACGGTTACAATCCCCGTTAACAAGTCGGCGTTCACACACGCTAAAATATACTTGTGTCTACTAGTCATACGATTAATATTTTGTGTTGTGTAAGTAAACGTAAAAAATCAAAAGTGTTTATTTATCTTTCACACGATAATACTTTTTGGCGTACTTTAATTTTTTTGACGATGATGGCATTACGTGATTTTCTTGCGCTCCTTCATCGTTGTCAAACCTGTGTAAAAATTATTCTACATGATTTATCTAATATAAATACACCTTCAATTGATTTTTAGTTTTAAATCTTTCAAAGCTTAGGCTCGGCAGTGAAAAATTTAACACCCATTCTCATACCTTTGTATTTTCGAAGCGGCATTTTTAAGATTTCCGTTACATTCTTCGTTCCATAAGGAAATAGTGGACGCACATTGATTTTTAAAGCCATTTTTCCCAATGTCCATAACGTATTTGTTTTTATCGTTCTGTCAAAGTGTATAGAATTTTACTGCGGTCGATCCGTTTAACATCAACACACATGATTCATTTTTATTAGATTTACCTGTTCCACTTCGCTCATTTGTAGTGTAGACACTTCGTCCTTTTTAATAAACAGTAAATTTTGATCACAACAGTCTTCCGTGATAAAAAAGGTCGGCTTATCCGAAGAGCACTTGGATTTTTTAAATTCACTCTTGTCCAACCTGTATGACACAAAAAAATAACATTGAAACAACTAATAGCTAATTAAATGAACAGTAATTGTAAAATATAATATTCAAACCCTTACTTGTCGTATATTATAGCGTTTACGCCTAGTCTTTTGAACTCGTTTACCACATCTTTACAGTTGTTATCATCGCCCCAGCAAAACAACGCTAATCCAGTTTTTTTAACCATACTTATTTGAGAAGGGTCGCGCAATAAATCCTCTGAATGCACATTGATTCCCTGAAATAGTTAATGTACATATGTTAGTTTATTTTCAATGATGCTTCTTACTTTGAGTATTTTTGACACGAAAGAGTCGTTGAATTTCATAAAGATAATATAATAAATTAAAAAATACACAAGACTCACCATTAAGTCGTGACACGCAGCGTGGTATACAGCCGATTGTATAGTATGGCACCGAGGATCTTCGTACGAAGGGTACCGTTTGGTCACGCCTTGTGTTAAGAACATAACGGGATATTTGTTTTGCTTCATTCTGAGCCTGTAAGTGTGTTAACCAAATGTTGTAAAGTAGAGTAAAATTTCAATATTAAAAATATAATTTAAATTTACATTGTGCAAACGTCAGGATGAAAACAAGAAAACACTATGCTTCGGGTATTTGCGTGTTCAAAAGTGGTTTGCAGAATTTTGTCGACAAATAAATTCATATCGAATGGATTTTCAAGTTCATACGATCCGTCCTAGGAGAACAATGTTAATAAATTCATATACTTTTTTTCTGTTTTTAACGCGTAACATAAAAAAAGCCATCACAGTGGAATCAGGTGACACAGTGATGATGGTAGATAGAGGAGCCAAAGTTGTTAAAAGCTTTCAAGAATTATAACTGATTAAATAAACGCTTCGATACGGTACTATGGATGATAAAAACTATTCAATATAAATATAAATTGACATTTTATTGACAGTAAATAGTGTTTAAAATGGTTTTCCTTAATAAAGTGTCACCACAGATTTTTGAACTGGAAATTGATGAAATGGTAACACATGTATTTTATTCACTTTTGTCATTTTAGATTAATCTATTGATCTATCTATTAATCAATATATAAAAAATTAACAACAGTTAATTACCTGTAACTCCATGGTCCATTTTAACTCTACGTTAAAGCCGACGTTGACGTCTACATTGGTGAACGCTTTTTCAAGTTTTGGAAAAGGTTGATAGTCGTTTCGCGTATCGTTTAAGAAATGACCTTTGGATAAACTGTAAGGTTCTTTGACGTGGTAGATCTATTTTAGAAATTGTATTGTCGCTTGTTAAATATTAATAATAAAAAGAATAGACTGGTGATTATTTTTATTCATAAGTACCTTTAATCGCTGAAGTTGTTCAAAAGAAAACTGTTTTAAAGGTACTTGAATCATTTCAACGTCTTCTGCCAAAATATCCGTTTTCGATCTAGTAGCCATCGACACTTTAAAGTCGTGATATATAATTGGCACCAAATCATTAGTTAGTTGCACATCAAATTCAACGAAATCTGCACCTTTATTAGCTGCTTCTCTCAAAGACGCAATCGTATTTTCACGTATATTCGAACAGCTGAAAAAAAAATTAATTCATTAAAAAAAAAAAGTTTTGTTTAATAAACTAACTAATTATTAAGAATTATCTTTCCTATGGTCTGTCATAAGTTTATTATAAGAGAAATAATAAACATAGTAATGTTGAAAACTAGAGATTAACAACATGAGATTTTTTCCTTTTTGTCGAGTAATTGAAGCAAGCGGGTTAATACAAACAAAGCTTATTTAATCAAATCAATTACATAGTATTTTTTCACTAAATCCAAATCTAGCTTCAACTTCAAAATTTTGAAATTGATAATTTTGTTGTATTAAAGATAAACAGTAATTCTATGATCGTTTTTTGAATTTGGTAAATAAAACAATTTAATAAGTTAATTTGGAAGAAATTTTAGAAAATTTCTTAAGCGAACAAAAACGGAATTGAAATATCACATACCAGTTTTTTTTTTTTTACAACTTTGGAGGCGATTTGAAAAGAAAATTTAGACGTTATGGAGAAAATTCTTAAGATTGATAATGAGAGTTCAATAATTTTAGGAGTCATTAAAGCCCAAACCATTACCGATTTATATTGAAAAAAAATCTGTCTACTATTGTAAGAAACCTATTGGGATAATTGAACCTAATTTAATTCTACTCACTCGGATATAAGTTTTTTAAAGGTCGAACCAGATCCTCTATGGCCAATGTCCAACGGATCGTATGAACTTTTCCAATCGATGGTTTTGACTTTTTCCATTGTGCAAACGATATTTTTTGACGGCTTTACGATGAAATAGTCGACTGTGGAAAAAAAGCAACTAATTATGTAAGCTGAAGTCTGTACCTAGGTTAGTTGAAGCAAAAAGTTAAACAGTATTACTTTTGAGTTCACCAATAGGTTGATGGCGAATGCTCGTAATAGGTGCTATTATTACTCCTGTACTGTGTTTCATACTATTCGGTAGTACATAAGTGAAACCGACATGATACGGCGGCTGTTCGAAACTTTCTTTTTGAAGATAAATATCGAAAAGATATCCCTAAAAAATTGTCAATGTATTTTTGTACTAAATCTTTAAAAAATTAATAATCGAAACCAAAAGTGTACATACCGTTTGAGCAAAGTTATGGACTTTAGTTTGATAAATATGTAAAGTATCTTTTTTCAAAAGAGTACCAAATTGTTTTTGCAACTGGAAGCTATAGTCACCAGGTATGTTCTAACAGATAATTAGTCAAAACATTAGTAAAAAAAAAATGTACACACTTATTTGATTTAAAGTAAAATATGTATTTATAATTTAAGATAATAAGTAGAAATTTAACGCTTACCGTAACCTCTACAAACGGCCATCCGAATGCGTTTGATCCTCGCGAACTCAAATCTTCGCTCAACAAATTACTTGGAGACGCATCGCCAGACTCTGGTGGAAGTTTCGACAACTGTACGGGTGTAACTTTAACGCACACCAAGTCCTGTTAAATTAGAAACATTATAATAATTGTAAAAACTGTGGGTTCCCTTTAAATGTGTTTTATAATAGTACCAATTGATTTTCCAACTTTGACTTCCAAAATCTGATCGGATAATTGTACAGTTTGAATTGTATTGCATATTCTTTAGTCAAAAATCCTCGATTGACTTGTTTGCTTCCATCTCGTATGCCGTATAAATCACAACTAGTTCCTTGGGCTTCTAAAAAAAATAATTAAACAAATTTAAACAATATATTCATGTTATTGTTGTGTATACTTGAATGTATGATATTTCCTCGTCCAACACAGCGGTTTTCAACCCTAGCTCTTGCAGGTACGGTATTTTGAAGTTAATATGAACTTAATACGACTAAGTATTATTGGTGAGTTCTGAGAGAGGAACCATAATTCTAGCTAGTCAAAAATATAATTAAAAAATGTTAAGACTAATAAAAGCACTATAATTTTTGACAAGCTAAACTCTGGTTCCTCCCATTGTGGTGCAACCAGATATTTTGAAAATTTGTTAATGAAAAAAAGAAAAGGTGAATTGCACTGGCATGATTTATCATATCATACAAATAAAATGACAATATACTTTATTTTTAAAAGGGTTGAAAACCACGAGCTCTGTTTTCAACTAACATACCATCGTTACATGGTACAACTCTAGGTTCGTAATGCGATTCCCACGAGTGAACTAAAACATTTCTTTTCTTTATATTAACACCGTCGGGCTCTAAAATATAAGCGACAAAGTACCGGAATAGTACTTGTTTGTCTGTAGGTAAATCTACTTTCCCAGTCCATATGTAATGAGTACGACTATAAAACACACCAACACATAATATTTTCAATAGTTAATACGGTAACAGGTTTTAAGTCAGAAGTTGACCATCTAATTTTATCTGCGTCGTGTATGTACCTATAAAATGGTTTTCAAGTGATTAATAACTACATTATCTAGTATAGAAAAAATAAAACAGTGCAATATTTTACAGTAGGGAAAATGTGAATCCTGTTCTTAAATAAAATCTACAGTTCAAAAACATGAGCTTAAAACAACCTTTTCTTTCGGTTTTGTTGATCAATTTATATAGAATATAAATTTTAGACCAATAATCTAATTAAATGTAATCACACCAAAAAAAAAAAACAAAATGAAGTTAGATGAAATGAAACAAAAAAAGTTGAATAAATTTTTAAAACATTAAAAACATTGAAGCATGGATATTATATTTTTTGGCTGTAACGATGAACAAATGTATACTGTGGACACGTTGTTTAGTTTCCATCAAAGTATCATAATCACATATTTCACAATAAATTTACCGTAAAAAGTTATACCAAAATGATAATGCTGACGTACATTTCTTTTTTTTTGTGTATTCAGCCCAAAAACATTAATTTTAAAATAGTTTAGTATAAATATAATTTTTAAAATACATTTTTTTAGGTTGTTATTAATAATTAGTTTTGAAAATCGAAACTTTGTCTGACTGTTATGATTATTTAGGAATTATTGATTATTATTTTACTGTAAAATTAGATATAAAAACTATATAATAAGCATTATTATGAATCACTTTAAAAAAGAACACAATACATATTAACAAGCAATGAAAATCAAAGAAATTCAATGACAAGTTTTTCTAACTAGTATTAAAGATTTAATAATGAATTATATGATGATTGAATATTTTTTTATTTAAAAATATCTTACTTGTTTCGTTCTCGAGTCATTTGTGTATTAGTTAGCACAACTGCTTCGTTTACACTCCAGTTACCTAAAGCGTCACAGTTGCCAGACACGCATATTTGTTGACCAACAGTTGTCTCCGCTTCGACAGTAAATGTATTTTCTTTCAATGAGCCAATTTTATTGGCACTATTATCGGATTCTCTTGTGTCTTTAGATTTTAGACGTTCGAGGTCTTCATCACTCGACCCATCGTTATCCCACCACTGTTGCATGTTGAAATAATATTCTGTGAACGAATAAAAACTTAAATAAATATTTTATAAACAATTAAGTTAATATACAAATATAAGAATAGCTATGTTTTTTTATCTATACAAACTACGCTAGACTGTGCCAGATTATTAAAGGCCAACAAACAATAATACTTACTGAAACTAATCTGTTATACGTTCAATTACTTGTCTTAAAAAAAAACCAATGGTTTGATAGAACTTAATTTGTACAAAGTATGTTACGGCCTTGGTAAATAATTTAATGTGGCTTTAGAAAGCTAATCTAATCTATTACCTATTTGTCAAGAGCACAACATTAAATATATAATAACTCTTCATGGCCAAGATAAATAACATTTTAAAATAATTCCTATCAACAATATAGTACAAGTTATCATAGTAGTAACGAGTCTTAGTTGCTATAAAATGATTTGTTGTTACGATGTATAAACAAAAAAAAACCACTATTTTATTAACTACATACAAAATTGAGAACACAACATTCTAATTTCTAGTTTCTGAATCGAGTAAAGTATAAGAATAATTAAATTGTGAGAACACTATTAAAATTTCCGTCAGTTTTATGAACAATAAGTATAGTCTGATGTTATTTTTTTTAAAACAACATTCAGTTGAAAACCATTTATAATGTAACAAACACTATTCAACACTAATCATAATTAATGATAGTGAATAGCACTTGTAAAAAATACATGGTAAAATTTAAATTTTATGTTTTTACTTGTTTGACATCACTTATAAATGTTGTGTATTACAAGTAATAATTTTGACTAACGTACAAAAAAAAAAAAAAGGCCATGAAGACATTATTCACAACATTTTTTATTATGCTTCGTAACACATCTTATAAAAATAATATACACTAAAAAGGGTACACGTCAAACACAACGGGGTTAACATGTTCTGTCTGTGAATGGTGTTGATCTATTATTGTAAGCAGGTATAATTTTTTTTTTTTTTTAATACACAGACAAATAGACGGCTAGAGAAATTAGTGTATAAACAAGACGGAATGCACCTAACCCCAAGAGCCTAGTCAAAAGGCCATACAGGGTGTTTAAATTATTTTTTTTATTTTTGGGGCTTAACCATTTCGTTTGCCTAAATTTATTTTGAAACACTTACCTATAATTGATAATCCGCTGGTTCAATAATACGAAGATGAGCGAGTTTGAGAATGTTGAAAGAAGCAGGAACTATCTACCTGTGCATTAGATTATTTAAAATAATATTGAAACATTTTGTTTAGTATTGTGTCCGCAGTGACACGCGAATCAACGAACTACACAATGCAATACTGCAATATGCATTATGCAAATTGCAAGCCACGGATCTTTGTCCGTAATCAGTAATGTAAGCATTATCAAATTCCACCAGCAGCGAATGATAACAGTGGCCGTATCGGGTCTGTCGTGTGGCGAAGGTGAGTTGAATAAACCGAAATCGTAAAGTCTACCTCCAACACCAGCTATAGCAGAGAGCAGCTGTTGCCGTAACGCCATCGATAAAAAAAAAAACATAAAAACAATTATCAATATTATAGTCGTTTTGCTCGATATAGAAACGCTGTCGAGTGGCAAAGTTGAGTATAAAAAACGAAATCGTAAAGTCAACACGTCTAGGTAACGTCATCAGTATAAAAACAAATATGTATTGTACAACAAATAAACTCTTATCGAACAGAGCCGGACGGCGCGACGCAATCCCACGCCGCATACCTTTTATTTGACTTTAAACAAACACCGGTCCCACACACACACACACACACACAATAATGATTTACAAAAAAAAAAAACATAGTCTTATATATATATCTGATACTATAGTAACTATATAAACACAATTCGTAACCGTCAATTTAGTATGCCCGTGTTAGACAGTTAATATTATGTCAAAAGCCTCTTTATAAAAAATTTTAAAAAAATTATCTCTTTTGCTATCATTTATAAACCCAATTTGTTTAAATTATACTTACTCTAATGCGAGCCTATAGATTTAAAATACGCAAGTCAAAGCTAAAATGTTACAAGTTAACTCTTATCTTAAACGACGCAATCTCACGCCCAAGACATTTTATTTATTAAAAAAAAAAAAAACAGTTGCTACAATAAATGATTCCCACGCAGACGAATAATAACAATAACAATACAATGGTATGGTAATTGTATTATAAACGCAATTCGTAGGAACTCGACAATTTTTGTTGTGCTTACAGACCTTATAAGGTCTGTCGTTATTATATGTACTTCTGCACACAACTGAATCACATTTGGCTGCCATTCACTATTATTGCTCTGGTTAGTTTGTGTATGATAATAAAAAAAAACAAGAATTTAAAACATTATGCAAACGAAGAACACGTTCTAAGTATTCCCTCTTTTGTGGTGTGACGTGACTTAAATATGTTAGTGTTCCCCCTGGAAAATATTACCAATTAATTACCACAATATTATTTTGTAGAGCTTGTAGTTACACCAATAAAGATAAGTTGTACATAAAAACAAAGCTAACAGGTATTCATTTGGTAGTGGTTTGGTCATAGGTTTTTTAATTTTATCAATTGTTATAATATGTCATATGTGTACCTATATTGTAAGTTGTACTTAAATAATAATAATAATTTACTTATTTTCATCTCGAGTACAATATAACACAATTTACAAATAAATAGGAGGGTTGTTTCTGAAAACCACAAATTCTGAATGAAACAAGATAGTTCTTGTGTTAAATTGTATCTAATATCTATTAGGTGTGTAAACAATAGCAATATATCATTAATACATTTTGTTTTGCGTTCAATTAGTCACTTATTGACATTTAAAAGGAGAAAAAATATATTTCGGTATTTGTGGTTGAAATAAAATTGTTTTTTTAGTAAAGTTGATTTTCCCACACTACTTACATACTTAGATCTATGTTTGCCATTATTGTCGGCCACACGTTTTAATGGATTTTAAAGGACATTCTCGAGACACAAAATTAATATTTATTCATTTTTTTTAAGGTTTTTTTAAAACAATAGATTTTCGTGTCATTTAATAGCTAATGTATTAATAAAATATTACAAATAAATATAATTCACTCACGGTCGGCAGTAGTGCGTCGGTAGTCTGTCATATTTTTTTTGTTTGCAAAAATGCAATTCCAATATTTGCACGTTTATGTGCATAGTGCGTACCGTGTACGTTGTCATTTAGATTCTATTGGTATTTATTTAATTAATTCTGTATCAACATTAAAAATGCCTGCCAAGTTAAAAGCCTCGTCGATTAATCCGAGATTTGTTTCTCATTGAACATTTCAACGCTTTAATGTAATCTACAACTATGGTTAATTTATTGAGTAAACACTGGATAGAAAATATGTATTATCCGGCCCAGCTGAAACTCATTACGACAATGACCGCTACAGTAATATAATATCAGCTTATAGATGTATTGGGGGTTTTTTTACAATTATATCTCGCTCGCGGTGAACCGCGAAGAAGGGTTTTAGAATCGTAGTAATCGAATTTCAAAAGGCGGCGCGATTTTTTTATTTTGACTCTGTGTGAACGCTGAGCAAACAACAATATTACCGCTTACTACGACGCCTTGTAGAACGCACCCTAATCTAACCTCACTTTCTGAAGAGACGTAAACAATAATATTATTATAACGTATAATCTGTTGTTGTCCGGCACCCGTTTGTATGTTTGTCACTTTTCAGCTGTATTCGATGCTATAGTCGGTAGTCCCTTTTTTTATTTTGCAAAATTAAAATGCCAATAAAATATTTGTACGTTTATTGCGAGCTGTGCATATCGTGAAACGCGCTTTGTTGTTATCTCGAACAGTGGCCAGTACTTAACGTAAAAACTTAATTCGATATTTGTTAAATTAATTCTCTGCAACAACATTACAAATGGCAAAGTTGTCTGCCAAGCTAAAAGCCATCGATTACCCCGGGATCAGCACGTTCGACGAAAGTGGTAGGTTAGGCTTGGTCAATTAATCGGATATTATAATCGTTGTTGGGTTTAAGGTAAAATTGTGTATTAATGTGCTGAAAACGATGGCGTTTTCAGGTTTTTGTAGTCACTCTTAGTTTTTGAGTTATAGCCTAAAAAATAAGCCCATATACGTGAGTGCGCATATTTTTTCTCATTGAAGATTGTTCATCATTGAACATTTCAATAGCTTAATCTAATTTAACTAAAGTTAATACTTTGAGTAAACACTGGACATGAATATATTGTTTGGACCAGTTAAAACTCGTTAGGATAATGAACGCTACAAGTAGCAGTATTAGGTTTATTTTTTTACTTAGATATGTCTCATAACTGGAGTTGTATTGAAAATATCCGTGACCCACAATAAATAAAATACGTCTTGAGGTTTTTGACTGTTAAGTCATTTAATATTGATGCAATCAACGCCATAGGATAGGTGTAATGTTTTTCCTACAAATGTGAAATTTATTTTTATTTTTGAAGAGGTTTGTTAGATCATAGGTAATATTTTCATATCCTATAGGTAATCTTTTTTTTCTCTGGGGATTCGAGTCGTCTGCCATAGCCCGTAGGCGTACAAAGACACTTACACTGTATTAGTGAGCTCTTACTGCCTATCGCGTTGTCGTAGGTTGTTGTGACTAAATAACGAGTGAACACAGTTATCTAGTGAAACAAGTTTTTTTGGCTATGACTTAAGTGTGATCAGAAAAAATCAAATAAAACGATTAGGAGCTACCATAAATTTGGTCTTAACCCTTAACTAGTGACATCTGGTATCTCGTGGCGGTCTGATTATTCTTGTAGCAATTGCATTCTTATCAGTTAACACAAAACATTGATTATAGTTAGTATGTTTTTGTTGTAGAATCTTTTGTATACAAATTTGTTTGATTTTACCCAATAACTTGAGGTACAGCCATAATAATTGAATGAGTTATAAAAATCCTCGTCACTAGTAAAGGTTTCAAATCAAATTTGGAAATTCTCATTATTAAAAAAGCAAACTTATTTTACAGGACACCCTTGGATGATTAAGCTATTCGTAGATCCTAGACACTTAAGACCCCAAATTTCCAAGGCCGTAATGTAATCCCCTCTTGCTAAAAAAAAAAAAAATTATTTTATTATTAGGTCCTTAATGATCAAATATAAGACATGATAATATATATTTTACTTCAGTAGTTGAATAAAATTTGATTGGTATATATTTTTTTTTTAAATCAATACAGTGGAACCCTAATAAGTCGAAGTACTAGGGAAACGTATTTTTCTTTAGAACTATCAAGCTTTCGACTTACTAAGGTTTTTCGAGCTATCAAGGTATTAGAAAATAAAAAATATGACTTACCTAAAGAGGTTTTTGTATAGCTGTTGATTATTATATGACGGAACCTCAATAAGTCCAAGCTCGAGGGAAACGTAACTAACAATACCTATGTCTTTACCAGTTATAATAACTACAAATTAATATTGGAATGTTTTTATTCGTTTTAGATGAAAAGTGCTTACGTCGACTGGTAGTTTGGTTAGAGGAGAATAAGTTGTGTTTGTATAAGCCCAAAGAACGGGCGGATTTGAAAAAAACTAATTCTCCCACTTGGAATGAGGCGTTCAAAAGCTACTGTACATTATGTTCCAGCCCAATAAGCAGTGATGAAATATTGAACCATATTGAGTGGCTATTGGGTACGGCCATTAGAAAAGAATATAACAAAGACAGTAAGTTCATGTTTGGTAATTATTTAATGTTTGAACTATTTGCTAATTTGTATTTTTTTTTTTATATAGAAGTCAAGTATGACGAAAAGTCAAAATTGGCCCTTGAGACTTCCACGGATGTTCCAATGATAATACCGTCTAATAATCCCATAGACAATCTCGACGGTACGTATAAAATAATAGTTTCACGAACCCATTCGTGCATAATGAACTTATTGATTAATTTCAAATAATTTCAGGATGAACTGTTTTTAGTTTTGATCGTATCCCTTAAATTAATAATAAATCACCATAAAGTATCTAATGTATTAATAAAAGATTTTTTTTTAAGTTTATTTTAATTGATAAAGATTGAGATTGTTTAATATTACCCAACCAAACCTACCATGAATTTTCCTCGCTAAAAATCACGCTATATTATTATAACTTAATAAAATATAACTAAATGATACAATAGTAGTATTGTAAAAAAATACTTAAAAAGTATTTAAGATCTTCTAAAAATCCTTCCAATTATTGACTAAAAATTTAACTTAGAACCTCTCTAATCATTCATAGTCACTTATTTTTTTTTAAGAAAACTATAACATCTATTTTTATAGTATAATATACAAAAATTCAAAATTTGTTTTCAACATTTTTCTGAAGTAAATGAATTATTATTTATTTGCTTTCTATTATTTGAGCTTATTGTTAAATTATTTTTTTAATTTTATTAGTAAAAAATTGAGTTAAAAATAAACTATTTTTTATTTATTATCTACGCCGTTCATGAACATTATCTTATTGCTTATATTATTCATTACTTTTTATAAACAGTTAAATCTATTAAGAATTATTATTACACTTGTGTGCATAAGGCAAACCAAAAAAAGTTTATGAAACGCCAAATAAAAACCTAAAAAATTAAACTAGGTAATAAAAAAAAAAAAACTGATTGACTAAAGATTAAAACCTACTACTATCTATATATTTATAAAACTATACTAACAAGCTGTTTAAACCAAAAGTGGTTGCAAAAATGTTGGCACCTTAGTGCCAACATTAGAACCATGTCTCTTAAGACATGGTTCTAATGGCCACATGGGTTCACCACAATCATTTAATAACAACAGGCACTAACAATTTTTAAAATTTAATTTTAGTAATATTTTTTTTTTCATTTGCAGTTAATAGCTGTGAATTCAAAGAAGGCGTTGAAAGTCTTGCAGATATATTAAATATATCTAAACATCCAGATCACATTGTTACCTTGGAAGCTATTCGCACGTTGATAGCTAAGAGGTTAAATGAAGAATGCATAAAGGATCCGTTATCTGTTCTTCCAAAGGTAGGTACAGATTAATAAAGTAGTTAAATGTTAGTTTTACGCAGATAATATCAACAACAGTAATTTTACTTATTACAGGGCGAAGCTTTCCCCTTGGAATTAGTTAAAACATTCAAAAACAAATCAAGTAATCCAGCGGTCGAACAAGCTTTGAAGGTTCTAAGACTTGTACAGGTACACAGGTTACGCGACTTACAAACTTGCATCAACGAATGTATCGTATCCATGCAACAAATCACGTCCAATCCAAAAACTGATACTAAACTCGGCAAAGTTGGTTATTGAATAGCAAGTTATGTAGAAGTATAAGTAGTTTTTCATGCCTACAAAATATACCTTCTTCCTGTCGTGTTTATTCTTACGAATGGATTGTTCATTATTATATTTAATAATAAGCTGTGAGTTAATAATTAAAATGATACTATTCAACTAATATTGATGTAAGTCAGATAGAGGTTTAATTATTATTATTTTTTTTAAATTAAGTTAAGTGATTTTCAAATGTGTGAACCTATTTTATACATGATTTTATGATTACCATCTTGTTGCCTCAAAATAAGCAATAGGTAAATGACAACATTCTTACATAGCTTAGAGAGCAGTAACATTTCTGCTATCATTCGAAAAAAAATGCAGTTGCTAAACCAAACCACATACGAAACACACAATGTTAACGACATCTTTTTGTTTTCTGGTACTGATGTTTTGTCTTGGTTGCCGTGATAGGGTAGAAATGTTGTTCTTCTGTATACTTAGGGGGTTTGGTTTATGCAAATTATTTTCTTCGACGATTTGTATGTAGTAATTTGTCCTACTATATTGTACACTTGGAGGATTTTCCTGTGTAGAAGTACCGTTGTTTAAAACTGTGCCCTCGTTAACTTATCTACGCATTGCATTTGCAATAACATATTCATATAATACAAGTAAATGCAATTTTGACCATCAAATCTAAAATTTCATAACGCATTTTATTTATATGAATGTTATTTTCATTTCTTTCTTTAAAAGGCCCAGTAAACATAGCAGATACATGGCTTGCAGAAGGTAAAACAATTTTGTGGGCTGCAATTTGTTTACAATCATTACATAATATGAAGTTTGAGTCGAACAATGTTCTTGCATAAGAACTGAAACAACGTTACAGGTTTATTGAGATCATGTTCATTGTATAATTTACCGTGGTTGAGTATCGCAGCCCTCGTGTAGTAACACATGAAACGGTTGATGTGATAGGATATAAGTGTTATTCTTCTATATACTTAGGGGATTTTTCTGTGTACAAGTACCGTTGTGTAAAAATGTGCCCTCATTAACTTTTCTACGCATTGCATCAATTGTTCGATGGATAGCTTAAATAAAAATGTACCTTAAGAAATATCTAAAAATTGTTTTCTCATCCGTGAACAATAAAATAGCCAATACAGTTGATGGCCATGATGGCGATGGTGCATATTGATGTTTAGGAAATAATAAAAAAAACAACATAATATTAAATGGTTTGTCCTGCTTTATTAAGCTTAAGCTATTACTAGGTACACTGTTTTAAAATCTCTACGCACTTGAACGGCAAACATTTATGTGTAATTTTGTTGCCCGTCTTTCAAGACTAGTCTTATTTTCTACAAATTCTTGGTTGTGTGTGTGCGGTTTGTTTTGTTAATTTTGTTAGATGTAAGAACATGTTATAAAAAAAAAAAATGGTATAAAACACTTTTCCAATAACAAATATACTGTTATTATAATTTAAGCAATTGGTTTTTGTTTCATATGGGTTTTAATAATATTAAGCTGTGAGTTCCTTGTTTTGTGAAAAATATTTTAAATAACTAAAAACATATAGTTTGTTAATGTTTGTTGTGATATTGTCTTCTTACCTGCTGTAATATATATCAAGCTAAAAAAACATGTGTTGTGTTGTTTATTTTATAAATATAAATTGCGATTTTCTGCCATTTATTGGAACAATCCAATATATTAGTTTTTGTACAAAAAAACAGTGATGAGACCAGTGTCGTGTTGCTGGAAATAGTGTTCACATTTCACTGAGACACCCGTGTAAGTATGTTAAGTATTTAACAGCGGTAAAATTATATGTATGTCCAGAAGAAAAATACCATTAAATGTTCTTCTATCCATCATAAAACAGCTAGGTCAAGTCAATTGCATTGTCTATTGTATATATAATAATTAATTCAGCTTGTCCCATAGATGGACAGTATTTGAATTAAAATATTAAAAAATACATTTTAAATTTTAGTTTCTAAAACGTACATGATGATTCATTAAGGACAAGACACTATTTTGTAGTTTTTGTTTTTTTACAATTTTTTAAAATATTAAAATTGCTTTGTTTTTTTTTGTCCGAAACTTAAATAGGAAAGTAAATATTTAACTTTCTATTTTAAATGAGAATAATTTTCTGAAACTTTTGACTGGTTGATCATTTTTAATAATATTTATAAGTATAACCACTTAAAAATTGGTTAATAATAAGGTAGAATATTATTTTTATATTATTTATTAATCACTTTAAAAGTAATCATGGTTTTGATTCGCTTGAAAAAAAACGCGTTGAAGCGATTTTATAAAAAGTTACAAAGTAAAAATTATTTTCAACATAAACCTAGAAATGTTTAATTAGGTTTTTGGTTTTTAACCATCATCTTGATTGCACATCGAAACTAAATCAAACTACATTAACTGAGTAATATATTATTATTTGGAATGGTGTTTTCAGTTTTGAGACATCATGGATATCGAAAAGTCGTCGGATCTAAGGTGAGAAAAACGCATACTTACATGATATTTTAATACTAACACACGAGTAACCTTTTATTTTTATTGGTTGTATAAAATATGTACTTAATTAAATTGAACGCGGATTATTGATTACTAATGAAAATAACATTTGTCCGGATATTTTTCCATGTAAAATATACCATTTTATTCGGTTCGCCAGTGACTTCGTGACGCCGCTGGAAATTTCGGCCGAGTTAGCTTGGATCGTAGAAGACAACATAAATACAAAAGAATTGAGTCGGGTACAAATCAAGAATTTAATGCAATTAATGATATTGTGGACAGAAACGATACAGGGACAGTTAAAGCTGATCAAAGACATGCAGGCAAAGAGTTTTTTTTTAATAATTTTAATGCCTACTTCTTTATCTTCTTATCGTGTAAATTCTCAAAAGTCTCAATCTTCGACGAAGCCTAAAACTAACTAAACAAATTTAAATAATATTAGTGTTTTTTTTTTTTTTTTGTTACTGGCATTTTACAGAAGTGCAAAATTATTTTCAATAGTCCAATGCTCGAGTATGAGTTCTGGTGTCAGCGGTACACGTTGTTCATGAAAATTATCGAACAGGTCAAGAGCAAAGAGGTGAAGAAGAACGTAGAAATAATGCAGGAAAATATCGAAAGCGGTACGGTGCGATACACTTTGCGCGAGTTCCACGCGGCCGTGCAAAGTGCAATGACCACCTTCAAAAAAATCCTTAAAGTCAACTACACGTGCATGGTCAAGTGCTACGAGAGGTTTAACGTGTGTACAAAAATCATAATCCGTGAAATTAATTTCGCTGTCAGCGCGACTGCTGCTGCAATCGAAGAGTCACGTTCCAAGAGGTGGTATTGCCGAAATTCCATACAAATTGCTAGCCAAAGTCTTTATATCCCCGACCTGCTTTACACACTTCCAATTATAGCATCCAGTCGCTTCTTTATCAGTGAACCCCTTCAAAGCCAACCGTTTCCTACATACCCACATCCTAGCCACTGCCCACATCCATTCCAAAGTTCTGATTTCAGCAATTCCCGTTTTTCATTGGGTCTAACTTCGGATAAGTACCCGACCTTTCGGCGGGCGCGATAGCAAGAAATTACTTTCGCCGTATACATTTAAGAATACTAAAGTCTAGTAAATAAAAAACAATCCACACGTGTGAATCCCAGGAATTGGCAAACGCTCCATTCTCGTTGATCGCCAAGCGGTTCGTTGCTCTCTACGATAACTTGAAAAGCTTGTGGAGCGTGTCGAGTTTTTTCGGCGACGACAAGCAAATGGAGCGTGTCCTTCGGTCTATTTCCGACTGTCTCTCCAACAGGGTCATGAGGACACTGACTATTCCCGGTGTTTTCAAGTAAACCTCTATCGCTATAAGGTGTAGTCTAAGTGCGTTTAACTCGGTTTCTCTCAACGTGTGTAGTTTGGACGTGAACGAAACTCTGGAAATGGTCAACGACGCCATAGCCATGTTGGACAATTGGAAAAGACATTATTACAAGTGCCGAGGGGAAATCGAGAGTGTAGCGTTGTTCAGGCGTTGGGAGTTCAAAAAGGAATTGCTTTTCGACCAGACCGAGTATGTCCGGTACGTGGTGAACGACTTGAAGACTATTTTACAGATCATTGGCCAGTTCACGATCGTTTTCGGTCCCGAAATGAAATCCATAGTGACCCAGATACCGTTGACCGGTTCGGTGCTAATGGAAGGCCTGACCGGCGAATTCTTCAACATCGACTTCAACGTTTACCATCAGGACGAAGAGGAGACCTGGAAGCAAATTGTGGCAAAGTTTTTCGGTAGAGTCGGTGAAATGGAATTGCAGGCCAACACGTTCATCGACTTGTGCTTCTTGAGGCTGAGGACGGCGGCAGGTGGATTTAAAGCGCTTCAGATTTTCGAGCAAATGGACACCAGAGAGTCGATGCACAAACGCCTCTCGCAAAAGTATCCGGTCATAATAGAAAAGTTCAAGAGCGAAATGAAGACCGCCAAATCTATGTTTGACGTGAGTTTTCTTATATAGTATTCGATTTTTCAACAGAAAATTTCCGACGTGGGTAATTGAAAATATAGACCTGGTTACAAACGGGGTTAAACGGGATAGTAATTGTTAGTAAATAAGGCAAACGTCAATACAATTTTTGTCATAAGATAATTGAAATCGTTGAAACACATGAGGAGCTTTAAAATGTTTGTGTTTCACTATAATGCCGAAACTAATTTTATGTTAACTTGCATTGTTTCGCCGTATTTGAACGTGACTGCAGTACTCTAGAATAGTCTCGCAGCTGCCAAGGGATCAACCGCCGGTTTCGGGAAACATCATGTTCGTGCGGGAATTGATTTTGAGGGCCAAGAAAACGGCGTTGCTGCTCACCGGATACTCTAAAGAGTTGGAACAGAAATACGAACTTAAAGTTAGCTTGGGTTTATCACGTTAAAATCCGATTGTCTACCATTCTTTTTTTCCGTTTGCCAAGGAGTTCGCCACGTACATATGCGTCACCAAAGAAATGATGGCGTACGAGAGGAGTACATTTCTGAATTGGGTGGAAAAAGCATTACAAACGGAACAGGAGAAAACCAGAGAAACGCTTTTGATGTTCATCGGAAACAGGGAAGACATTATCATATCCAAGTTTAACGTAAGAGCCGTCTGAGCTCGGACAGCTTCGTTCAATATACTTGACTACAAAGAAAGAAATTAATTTTTTTTTTTTAGAGGAAACTGTTTGGCGTCATCGACGAAGGCACGCAAATGTACTTGATCGGATACGATTTACCTGAGAACATCAAATATCTGATAATGCGATTGCCACAGATCAAACGTAACGTGATGTCCATCGACACTATAGTGGGAATGATGGGAAACCTCATTGGACAAATGGATAAACATGTGGTAAGACACACACAATGTCAAATTAGCTGCGCCTAATTTTATCCCAAATAAAATGGTTTTCTTCGATTATAAGTACATGGCAATGGAATTGCACTTGAACAAAATCCGGGATGCTGTCCGCCCTGCGCTGAAAAGGTACAATTGTTTGACTATGAATCTTTCAGAGTTCACTGATAACGTTCTTCATCGACTGGCGTATAACAATACGGTTCTAAAGCGAATTAAAATAGTATAAACACGACATTTTTGTAATAATCACTAAAAAATTCTGGAAGATAATTTTTTTCTTAAAAGGCGGAACAAAAAATTATACAACAAATCGAAACAGTAAAGGATTTGGTTTTCCTGCCGATCGACGAAGAAAATAGGACACAAGAATTTTTGGTAAGTAGCAGTGCACAAAATGTACGCCAGGTTATGTAATAATTATAACTGAAGCTGTGAGAACCAGAAGGGTACAAGTGATATTCTTGTCCTATTTTATGGATACTAGTAAATTTCTATCTATGGTTGAACATATATTTTCGTCTTTTTTTTTTTTTTACTAACGTGATATGCTTCTTAAAATTTAAAAAATGGTTTTCCTAGATAATAATGACTTTTATTAAGAAACTAGTCAATTATATTAGTATATTAAAATATTTTATGTGCAGTATTTGATTTTTATTGTATTGATTTGCAAGTTCATTTTTGTATTTTGGTTACATCACTTCAATTCCTATTAATTGAATATAAATTGTTTGTTATTTTGTCGAGTAACCAATAATTTTTCGAATTCATATTATATGTATTATTTCGCCGACATTGCAGAAAATCTACGACCGAACTGAAGCTCAGAGCAACATGAATATATCGCTTTTGATGCAATCGACTAGCATTATTCCCAGAATTATTAGTTTGATTGAAAATACTTGCTATGGGTTTTCGACGGGCCGACACGAGGGAATGTCACTGTTTTATCAAAAATACGAAACAATCATATTCGAAAATATCGTAAGGTAGTACCGTGGTAGTTAGCACTACTTTTACTGGTTTTATTTTTAATATGGATATGTTTTCAGCCCAATACATTTAAAACTGTAAGGCGGGAGAGGAGGAAATAGGAAGGGATGTGGGTGGAAGGGATGTGGCGGGGATGGAGAGGGAATCAAAAAAGGGGACAAATGCTAACACATCCATGATTTTTCAATATTCTTGTGGAGAAAATAGGTTTCGATTATATTAGATTCGATAGCGAATAATAATAATAATAGATCTTTGTGTCTGAACTCACGCCGTAAGGCCAAATATTTTTTTTATTCAGGATGGTGATCAACAACTTAAAAATGTTCAAGCAAATATTGCAAAACGACAAGGCAATTTTTGTCATTTACGCACGAATGGTCAACGACGAGTTTTTGGTGGTGCCCAACATACCGATCATAGTGTTCACCATATTGAGGATCATGCGGTACTTTTTAGAGCGCTTGCGGGTCATGCCCAGATGGTTGAAAGACACAGCCATCCCTTGTCCCACGGCATATCATGTGCAGACCGGCACGAAACATTTGTTCTCGTTTTACGATAATTTGTCGGACCGCAAGCACGTTGTCCAAATGCTAAAGAAGTGTCACGACTCTGCTAACAAGGTTGGGGGTTTGGTGATGAATACCATAAGAAAGTAAAACACACCCGCCCTAGCAGAGAGACATTTAACTAGAAAATCGACTTTTTGGTATCCTGTTTTACAGTTTGAAAAAATTTAATTTTCTCTTCGAGAGGCAAGAAACTTTGGTGCTTGAAATGTTTGCCGAAACCAACCCGAAGCTACACGACTACAAAAGACAGTTAAATTTTTTTCGAAATCTCGCCGAAGGCCTGAAAGAGCAGACCACTTACATGGACGTCGGGTGCATAAGGATCAATCATTCGGATTACATAAAAAAGCTGATAGACCAGTGTACTATGTGGCATTCGTTGTATGGCATGCAGCTCATGCGCGAATGTAGTTTGACGATGACGGATTTTTCAAAATTAATCGCAGTGCGTACCAAAAGTATCCGGGGGGTTAGCTGTTAAGTGCCGGAAGAACTTTTTGGAATCTCATCCTCGCTTATAAATTGTTTATACTTTTTTTACTTTATGCACCCATTATCCATGTTCTTCAACTACCTATCTAGAAAATTACAAATAAAAGAGCAACATTCGTAGCAAAATTGGTGTAAGAATAATCGTTTTCGTGAAGACATAATATTTTCACAATATTCGGTTACGCCAGTCATCTTTGTCAGTTTTAAATTACTTGAATTCTCATTTTTAGAAAAAAATTAAATATATATAATAAATTTAAATAAAGTATGTACTCGCAGACCTACAGAGAAAGGTTAAATTCGCACGTACAAGACGTGGAAAGTTTCAAAGTTGTCCTACAAGCCGTTGAAGATATTAAGCATATGGTTTTTTTTGCGGATTACTCTTTCAACGAAATAGAGAATAGATTCAACTTAATGAAAAGCCATAGTTTGAAAGTACTTATTGAAATGAAATAAAACACTATATAAGTTTTCAGAAAACATTGACACATTTTAGATACCGTACGAAAACCATTTTCAATACAAGGCTCTAAAAGATGATTGGAAAGTTTTATACGGAGAAGCGTTGTCAAAAAGTTATTCAGTGGAAGAAATCAAAAAAGGTTTCACGGGAGTAGCTCAGGAACAAATCAACGAATTTATCGACCGAGTGGCATTGTTTCTGAAAGACTATTACGAAAACGGTCCCGGTACCGTCGGTGAAAATTTAGATTTGGGCATTCCCAAATTAAAAGTGCAGTTGTATATTAATTTAATAAATGCGTTGTCTAAAAATAAAAATGAAATGTTAATTTAAAGGAATTCGACGAAAAATTCAGCGATATATTCGAAGAAAGATATGAGGCTGTTAAAAGTGCGCTGCTTTTTGGACTGCCGTACATTCCCATGGAACACCTCGAAGCAGCTTTTCAAAATTTTAAGTGTATGCAGTATATACTAGAGTTGTACATGCGTCAAAAAACGTCCAGAGAAGAGTGGGCGAAAGCCCTTTGGTCGGACTTAAACCCTCAACTACTAATTGAAGGCATGGATGAGTTTCTTAAAGATTACAAAAAAATTCCTCGAGAATGTCGCAGTGTTAAGATTGCAACAGTATTAGAGTCGAAAATGAAAAGTTTCAAAAATTCTATTCCACTGTTCATCGAACTCAAGAACGAAGCTATGAGGGAACGTCATTGGAACCAGTTGATGGATAAGACTGGTAAGTTTATGCTGTATATAAATTGTCACGGCTGTCCGCTTTTAAGAAACCATATTATAATACAACATATGAATTCAATGTACAGGTCAACATTTCGACATGACTCCAGAAGTTTTCACGTTAGGAAAAATGTTTGCTATGGACTTAGGTCGTTACGAAGATATATGTATGGAAATAATAGGAAACGCTGTAAAAGAATTGAGCATCGAACGTAGCGTCAAAGAGATTTCTATTGCAAGTGTTCTTGTTAATTTTTAACTAAATCATTTATTAGATTTTGAAACCGCTTTAAAATAATTATGATATGTATCGATGTCGTATAATAATAATATAAGTTACTTTAACACGTAGATATGGGAAACTATGTTGATTGAAGTCACCAAACACATCAAAGACGATAAATATCGAGGGCTTATTTTGGGTGATTTATCCGAACTCAATCAAACTTTGGAAGACAACAGAATGACTCTACAGAGCATGGCAGGGTCGCAGTACGAATCTTTAGTTATTACATGAAAATGAACAAAATATATTAATTATATTCGTTTAATAAATTAATTTTTTAAAGATTTGTCGGTCCATTTTTGCCTGTTGTACAAAAATGGGATAAAAACTTGGCGGTAATCAGTGACGTTTTGGCCGAATGGTATCAGGTGCAGTTGAAATGGGTATATCTGGAAGGAATATTTCTCGGCGGAGAAATCAGGTTGCAACTTCCTGAAGAGGCCAAAAGATTCGATGACATGGACAGAACTTTCCGCATGATTATGGCAGAGACAAAGCGAAATCCAAAAGTAATGGCCCAGTGCTTGTCGCCCGGTCGGTTGGAGGAATTCCAAGCGCTATTCGAAGGTTTCGAAATGTGTCAAAAGTCGTTAAACGAGTATTTGAATTCGAAGAGGAACGCGTTTCCGAGATTCTTTTTCATATCCGACGAAGAACTGTTGTCGATCCTCGGTAATTCAAACCCGGCCAGCATTCAAGAGCACATAGTAAAGATGTTCGACAACGTTGGCAGCTTGTTACAAGTGAAAACCGTTGAGAACACCGTGATCGTGACTGCCATGATTTCTTGCGAAAAAGAAGTGATGGAATTCAAAGCCATCGTATCGGCTGAAGGATCGGTTGAGAATTGGATGAACAACGTGCTGGTGGAAATGTGGAGATCTAATAAGTTCTTGTCGAAGAAAGCTATTTTTTACTACGGTACGGTAAGGAGACCACGATGTGATTGGATACTGGACTACCAGGGAATGATATGCTTAGCGGCAAATGGTGTATGGTGGACGGCTGAAATAGAAAACGTGTTCAGGAAAATCAAAGAAGTAAGAATGGGTTGTGTAGTATTACAATTTTTACTATACTGGATTGTGCTTTGCAGGGGAACAAACGAGCCATGAAAGACTATTTGGATCAGCAGAACCGACAATTGGACGAGCTGGTGTTAAGAGTGAGAGGCGATCTTAGTAAGAACGACCGGAAAAAATTCAACACTATACTCATAGTGGACGTCCACGCCAGAGACATAATTGAAAATTTCGTTCGTGATGGCATTATGGAGAGTCAGGAGTTTGACTGGGAGAGTCAATTGAGGTTTTACTGGAAGAACGAACTGGATAACTTAATGGTACACCAGTGTTCCGGAACGTTCTCCTATGGATACGAATACATGGGTCTCAATGGTCGTTTGGTCATAACGCCTCTGACTGATCGAATCTACCTGACCATAACTCAAGCGCTGTCCATGCAATTGGGAGGCGCACCTGCAGGTAATTTTAGCCTCAAAAAGATCTGCCGAGCTAGATCAAAATACTTTCTATCGATTTAGGACCGGCTGGTACCGGAAAAACCGAAACGACTAAAGATCTCGCCAAAGCTATGGGTTTGCTTTGCATGGTTACGAACTGCGGTGAGGGCATGGACTATCAGGCATTTGGTAAAATTTTAAATGGTTTGTGCCAGTGCGGGGCTTGGGGGTGTTTCGACGAATTCAACCGTATTGACATTTCGGTGCTCTCCGTCATCTCAACGCAACTTGGAACTATCAGAAACGCGCTGCTCGACAAAGTGCAAACATTCATGGTAACCTTTTCCTAGACTAGAGAACGTTCTTTTTTTTTTTTAAATTTCATTCTTACATTATTTTTTTATTAGTTTGAAGGCAGGAACATTAAAATGGACAATAAAGTGGGAATATTCATCACTATGAATCCCGGTTACGCGGGACGTACTGAACTTCCCGAGACAGTGAAAGCATTATTTAGACCAGTCGTTTGCATAGTACCCGATTTAGAATTGATTTGCTTAATTATGCTGTTCTCTGAAGGATTCCTGCAAGCCAAGGTTTTGGCGAAAAAAATGACCGTCCTTTATAAATTGGCCCGCGAACAACTTTCGAAACAATCCCATTACGATTTTGGATTAAGAGCATTAAAATCCGTCTTGGTAATGGCTGGCGAACTAAAACGTAGTGCGCCAGATATCGATGAAGATGTGGTACTGATGAGAGCTCTAAGGTAAATTGTCAGAGTACAATATTTTTTGGTATTTTTTTAATATTACAAGATTTAGAAATATTTTAGTGCTCATGCAAAATTCCGAAATTTTAATAACAGGGTTTTTACAATTTTCTCATAGTTGGATTATTAACATACTTATACAAACATATAACGTAAAAAAATATATATTATTATACTTAAATGTTGCTTGTAACTTACATATTATGCCAACATAATTAGGTAAATGATTTAAATGGATTTAAACGTAATTTTTTCAGAGATATGAATCTGCCAAAATTCGTGTTCGACGACGTACCGCTTTTCTTAGGTCTAATCTCTGATCTCTTTCCCGGTTTAGAGTGTCCTCGTGTGACTTATCCTGATTTCGGCAAAGCGGTAGAAAATGAACTAAGAAACAAAAATTATATACAACTACCGAATCAAGTTTGTTTTATAGCAATTATTTAGTTAGAAACAATTAATTTAATTGTTTGAATGTGTATAGCCATTGTACATTTGAAATAGTTCAATTAATCGTTCTAAAGAAATTCTTTCTATATGGGTTTTATAGCGTCAAGTGTTTAAAAAAATAAGTGGGTTAAGTTATAAAAGGGACAAAAATACGTTTTAATTACAATGGATTAATTGATAGTAAATGTAATTGTTGTTAGATGGATAAAGTGATTCAAATGTACGAAACGATGATGACCAGACATTCGACGATGATTGTCGGTCCTACGGGTGGTGGAAAATCTGTTATAATTAATATGTTGGTGGGTGCGCAGACTGCATTAGGTTTACCCACGTATTTATACACTCTGAACCCTAAGGTACAGTAAAAAAGAAAAATTTGTATTAAAATAAGTTGCTTTACCATTTTTTTTTTACAATTATTACAATTTGTTTTATATTAAGGCATGTACCGTAATCGAGCTTTATGGCGTTTTGGATCCAGTCACCAGAGACTGGACAGACGGGTTGTTGTCAAACATTTTTAGAGAAATAAACAAACCCATACCGGACGACGAGCCCGAAAGGCGATACATAATGTTTGACGGTGACGTGGACGCGTTATGGATCGAAAACATGAACTCTGTGATGGACGACAACAAATTATTGACATTAGCCAACGGCGAACGTATACGACTTTTACCTCACTGCGCACTATTATTCGAAGTAATTATTTTAATTTTGCCGACTACCTGATCTACAGATAGGATAAACTTTGTGGGCAGTTTTGATTGATTGCGTTTTTAGGTTGGTGATTTGAGATTCGCGTCTCCAGCCACCGTTTCTAGAGCCGGTATGGTTTACGTGGATCCGAAAAATCTCGGTTACATGCCCTACTGGTATCGGTATGTGTCGAATAGGAGATCATCCGAAAGAGAGCCGCTTAATGTGCTGTTCGAGAAATACGTGCCAGTGTTACTCGACCGGATTATAGAAGGAAAGAGCGGATTCGAAGAGCTTACTCCTTTGCAATTGGTCATACCACAAACGAGATTAAATATGGTGACGCAGTTGTGTTACATGTTGGACGCGTTTGCAAAACAAGAATCTGGAGACTACGAAGAGAGCGAAGAGGTCTTGAAAAGTGTGACTGAGTCTAAAATGTCAAGTACGGTCTCCGAGGTAAAAGTTTCCGACGAGTTGGAAGCGATTTTCATATCTTCTCTTTACGCATCTCTTGGAGCCACTTTGGAAGGTGACGCGCGAGTCATATTCGATGCTTTAGTGAAAAAAACGTCCGGACTAGTAGCGATAGATGACGTACCAGCCAAAAGAGCTTCTTACAGTGAGTTTAAAATTGGTTATATACCGACAATTATAGTCTAGCAGAGGAGTGGACTCGTACGAGGAGCCAGAGTGTTTTAATATTTTATTTGGAGAGTATTGATTGAGAGGTAATTCTAGTATTGATAGTAATGTATATATATAGTGGTTTTAAAGTACTTAAAATTTGTTCAAGAGTTCATTCCGACACACGAAGAAACTTGGTTCGATTATTATTTGGACACCACTCAAGAAATTTGGGTACCTTGGAACACTTTAGTAGCGGACTACGAACACAACCCCAGCACTAAGTTTAGTGAAATTCTTGTGCCTACGGTTGATTCAACTAGAGTCACTTGGATATTGAGCTTCATGAACGAAGTGAAACGGCCGGTGATACTGGTCGGTGAAACTGGAACGTCGAAAACGGCAACGATGCAAAATTTCCTCAGGACTTTGGATCCCTCTCAATACGTAACTAAGACATTTTTCTACGATACATGTAGAAGAACTTAACTATAAAAACTGTCTTTACAGATACAAGCCAACTTGAATTTTTCGTCCAGAACCAATTCGATGGACGTGCAGCGAAATCTGGAGGCGAATGTTGACAAACGCACAAAGGACACGTATGGGCCTCCTATCGGCAAGAAACTGATTTGCTTCGTAGATGACATGAACATGCCTCAGGTGGACACGTACGGCACGCAACAGCCCATAGCATTGCTGAAACTTCTGTTGGAACACGGCGGAATGTATGACCGGGGCAGAGAACTCAATTGGAGGACTCTGGTGGACTTATGTGAGATCAACAGTCGCGTGGCAAACGCAGATCGTTAACAATGAGCGTTCTCTTAGGTTTTTACGCGGCTATGGGCAAAGCGGGGGGTGGTCGTAATGAAGTTGACCCGAGATTCATGTCAATGTTTTCCGTGTATTGTATGTCCACACCATCGAACGAGACCATCGATCACATTTATCGATCGATACTAGCAGGGCATACGGAAAATTTCGACGAAAACATTAGGAATGCTGTCCCCAACATTCTTAAAATGACGCTGCAATTGTACAAGGTAGGCTAGGATAGGTTAGTTTAAAACATAGAACATACATGACCGTCGTTTTAGACCATACTTGTAGAGCTGCCGCCGACTCCGAGCAAGTTTCATTATATCTTCAACCTTCGCGATCTTAGTCGAATCACGTGCGGAATGCTCCTGACTAGTCCCGTAATATTCAAAAACTTGTCGGACTTTATCAGGGTGTGGAGAAACGAGTTCACTCGGGTCATATGCGATCGACTGAACAGTGTTAACGTGAGTTCTGCGATACGGCCTTTTTTCATACGCCATACGATTCTGTGTGATTTTAATTTTTTTTCCGGGAAAATTTTCGATTTTCATCACTAGGATCAAGAGCTGATGACGACGCGCATCACTGAAGTACTAGATACTTACTATCCCGAATACACAGAAGAAGTACTGGTGAATCCTATGATTTATGGTGACTACAAAAACGCGTTGGACGAAGAGGAAGTACGGCTGTACGAAGACTACAAAGAATACGAAGAGATACTGCACATGTTTAAACAAGTAATAAGTTTTAAACAAATAAAATTAAACGTGTTATTAACAGTACAACTGGTTTTACGATAGATTTTATTCGAATACAACGAAAAAAACACAAAAATCGACATGGTGTTGTTTGACATGGCATTGGAGCATTTGACTAGAATACATAGGGTTTTGAGAATGGACAGAGGACATATGATGCTTGTCGGTGTAGGCGGCAGTGGTAAAGCTTTAATGACAAAGGTTGCAGCATTCACCGCGGGTAATTGAATGTCAATACTATGTTAGGATTGAGTCTAAAATGAACTTTTTGTTTTTTGACCATTTCTAGGCTGTGAAATGTTTTCGATTATGCTAAGTAGAGGTTATAACGAAACGACTTTTAGAGATGATATAAAAAAACTATACTTAATGTTGGGCGTGGATAAAAAACCATCTGTATTTTTTTTTAATCAATCTCAAATCGCCGAAGAAGGTATGCTTATTCATATGCTTTTGTTCATTTCTAAAATATAACCTTTATCGTATAGGTTTTCTGGAAATAATCAACAATATTCTGACGATCGGCATGGTACCAGCTTTGTTCACCGAAGAGGAAAAAGACGGTATTGTTAATCAAGTGAGGAAAGACGCCAAAGACGCTGGTTATGGAATCGCCAAGTAAACTAGTATCATAATAGCACATTTTACTGTCGCCGTATCACTTGAATATTCTATTTTTATCGCAGAGATGCTGTTTGGAATTACTATTTGAAAACATGTGTGAACAACCTACATGTAGTCCTTTCAATGGGTCCCGGTGACGAACTCAGAGCGAGATGTCGAAATTTTCCCGGTTTGGTAAACAATACTTGCATTAATTGGATTTTCGCTTGGCCCGTACAAGCGTTATACGCCGTCGCAGAATCGTTTTTGAACAAAGTAATAGTTTCAAATGAAACAATATAATGTTTTTATTAAATCATTATAAATTCAACTCATTGCGCAGGCGCCAAAAATAAAAGACGAGTACCGAGAAAGCATTGAAAATCACGTCGTCTATACCCACCAGAGTATGAGTGGCTATACCTTAGACTTTCAGTTGAAACTAAGGCGTAAATCGTATCTGACGCCTAAGCATTATCTAGATTTTATCACATTGTACTTGACGCTAGTCGACGAGCGAGAAGTCAGCATTACCCAACAAGTAAATCGTTGTACTATTAGTCCGACAATATTAACGGGTAGAAGTTTAAAATATTTCAAAATATGCATTTTCAGTGTGAAAGACTTTTGGTAGGTTTGCGAAAAATTGACGAAGCCGAGGCTCAATTGGCCGTTCTCAATCGACAGTTGGAAGAACAAAAAATAGTAATGGCCGAAAAAACTTTAGCCTGTGAACTGTTGTTGGATGAAATCGCCGTCGGTGTGTTCAACGATATTCGAGTAAAACTAAAAGGCTTTATTATAATATTGACTTAATTTTAACAGCTTCAAAGAAAGGCAACGAAAAGAAAGAAATCGTCGAAGTTAAAACCGCGGAAATCCAAAAAGCAAGCAAAATTATAAATTCAGAAAAAGAAGAAGCTCAGAAAATATTAAACTTGGCGTTACCCGCATTGGAAGCAGCTAGGGATGCTCTGAGTAACCTGGACAAAGCCGATATTACAGAAATTAGATCTTTCGCTACACCTCCTGAACCAGTGCAGACGGTCACCGAGTGTGTGGCTGTACTAAGAGGTTATAAAGAAGTCAATTGGAAAGTGGCCAAAGGAATGATGTCCGATCCGAATTTTATTAATACATTGAAAGAGCTGGACGTCGACTCTATAACTGGCAAACAACAATCAATAGTCAGGGCTAAGCTGAAGGTAAGTCAGAGATTTTTGGCCGCCCTTGATATATTTATTCTAACATAAAAGTAAAATTAGTTCTGCTGCTGACGAAACTAATTATTTAACCGTGTAATGTTAATTATGTTCGTTTAAATATCCAAACAGGCTTCAAAAAAAATGTCAATGATGAAATCGATTAGTAAAGCTGGTTACGGTTTACTGTACTTTGTTGAAGCCGTGCTCCAATACTGTGTCGTGTTCAAAGAAGTTCGACCGAAAAAAGAAAAAGTGGAACAACTTGAAAAGGAATTTCAAATAGTATAACAACATTATTTTTTATTTAATGAAAAAATCATTTACAATGGAGTGTTCTTAGGCGACTGATCAATTGAACAAACTCAACAGAGACCTGACTATTATCATGAATAATTTGAACGAACTAAACGAAAGGTATCAAAGAGCCATGGAAGAACGAAAGATTCTCCAAGAAGAAACGAATCTCATGCAAAAGAGATTGATCGCGGCTGATAAACTAATTACCGGTTTAAGTTCGGAAAACGAAAGATGGAGGAATGATTATGCCAACTTAGAAATCGACATGTTAAAAATATTCGGAAATTGTCTGATGAGTGCCTCGTTTTTGGCGTATACGGCTCCATTTTCGTATGAATTTCGAATTGATATGTTGTTCAACGATTGGTATAATAAAATATTAGAATCTGACGTACCAATTAGCCAACCATTTAAACTCGAAGTAGAACTCTGCGATGAAGTTACAATAGCGACGTAAGTGTAACAACAGAACTACATTTTAAAGGAGTGTTAGATCTTTTTTCGGCATTTGATATGAAAACATTTCTTAAAATGTACACTAACTCGATAAAAACTACTCGGCTCATATTCGTGATACGATGTGCTGCATAAGAAAATTTGCAAGTACTGAAGGTTTTTTTTTTGTTATCAGGTGGAACTCCGAAGGTTTGCCTCCCGACGACCTTTCCATACAAAACGGCATACTCACCGTAAGATCGAGTAGATTCACCCTGTGTATTGATCCGCAACAACAGGTAGTTAAAAACGTTACATAGTGAAATTATAATATTTTTATACTAAACATTCAATCAAAGGCGCTCAATTGGATCAAGAAAAAAGAAGAAGCCAACAACTTGAAAATACTTTCGTTTAGCGATTCGGATTATCTGAAGTACCTCGAAAGCTCCATAATATACGGATCGCCAGTGTTGTTTCAAGACGTCGATTATATTGATCCCATAATAGAAAATGTTCTTGAGAAAAACATCAAGAGTAAAATATTTTCAATTCCACTGACGCAACCGTCGTTTAATCTAATTTGATTTTGCTTAGCCGTTGGCGGTAGGAAGTTTGTCATATTAGGTGACAAAGAAGTGGACTACGATCCAAAGTTTTGTCTTTACCTGACCACAAAGTTAGCCAACCCATCGTTTAACCCTTCGGTTTACACCAAATCCACTGTTATAAACTGTTCGGTCACACAAAACGTAATTGATATTTTTTTGGGTTTTTAAAAAAGAAAAATGTCTATCACGTTTCCGTTGTAGGGACTCGAAGATCAACTGCTCTGCGTCGTAGTGAAAAACGAGAGGCCCGATTTGGAAGAGCAAAGAGAGTATTTGATCATGGAAACCAGTGCCAACAAGAACCTTTTGAAAAGACTGGAAGATTCTCTCCTCCGGGAGTTGGCTACCTCGACGGGGAACATGTTGGACAATGTTGACCTCATCGACACGCTGGAAGAAACCAAAACAAAAGCAAACGATGTGATGCAAAAATTGGCGTTGGCAGCGAAGACTTCAGTGGAATTGGACTTGCTCCGAAACCAGTATCGTTCAGCCGCCACCAGAGGAGCGATTTTGTTCTTCGTATTGGCTGGCCTGAGCTCCGTCAATGCCATGTACCAGTACTCATTGGTCGCATACTTACAAGTGTTTACCACTTCTCTGAAAAAGTCATTGCCCGACATGATATTGAAGAAACGGCTAATGAACATAATCAACACGCTCACCGAATACTTGTACGAATACGGGTGTACCGGTGAGTTAAATATGTATAAGATAATTTCTTTGAGAATTTATTTTTATTTTGATACACTTGACTTTATTTAGTACACAGAATTCATCACTATAACATAAACATCCTAGTTATAATTATGCTTATGATTTAAATTCTAAAAATTATACCAGTTCAGTTAATATTCAAACCTTTAACCAATTTCTATTCTAATTATTCGACTATTCGAGTGGTTAAATGATTCCTATGATTAGTTAGAATTCGTAGCCTAAAAGTTCAATAGTTGAAAAAACCAACAAAAAGAGTTATTGTATACTGCAATAAATAATCGAATTATAAATTATTTTTATTTATTCCTTAATTCTGGTTCCAGGCATATTCGAACGACATAAACTTCTATTTTCTTTTCAAATGGCTTTGAAGCTCCAAATGAGTACTGGTGAAGTGTCGGTAGCTGAGCTGGACTTCTTCATCAAAGGAAACGTTGCGTTGGAAAAATCCGAGAGAGCCAACCCAGCCAAATGGTTGTCTCCTCAAGGTTGGGAGGACATAGTGAAGTTGGCCAAAGACTTCTCCGATGATTTCCCCAGGTTGGACGATCACGTCATCAGAAACATACGCGATTGGCAGGACTGGTATGATTTGGACATGCCCGAGTCTGCGGATCCACCGGGAATGTACTCCAATTTTCGCACACCTTTTCACAAGCTCATGCTGCTCCGATGCTTTCGCGTGGACCGTGTGTACCAGGCAATCAGTAACTATGTGGCTTTGACGATGGGCGAAACATTCATTACGCCGCCGTTTGTCAGCTACGATGCCATATATGAACAAACGTTGCCCACAACACCTGTAATATTCATTTTAAGTCCAGGATCCGACCCGACAATGGACCTGATGAAATTGGCCGACAGGTGTGGGATCCCAAGCAACATGTTTAAATTTTTATCACTCGGGCAGGGACAGGAACCGGTGAGTATAATTTTATCGTGTAAATAAAAATTATGGATGCAGTTTCGGCGCTAAACCATGAAAACTTCGAATTATCGGTGCATCTGTGTGTAGATGGCGTTTTCGTTGTTGAATTCATCGATGGAGCTCGGATGTTGGCTAATGCTTCAGAACTGTCATTTGTTGATTCCGTTTCTTTATGATCTGGAAAAAGTGTTGGACAGAATCACAAGAGTGCATCCGTCTTTCAGGCTCTGGTTGGCGACCGACGCCACACCTCACTTCCCAGTGGCGATTCTACAGCGATCACTCAAAGGTAACCAACGATATTCCAATTAATTCCAACCAATGGTATTCATTGCTGTACTACATCGAACTCTTGTTGTCGTAGTGGTCACCGAGCCACCAAACGGGCTAAAGTTAAATATCAGAAACACATATTTTAAAATAAGACAAGAGAAACTAGACGAATGTACTCATCCAGCTTATACGACGCTCATATACGTGCTAGCTTTTTTCCACGCTGTCGTTCAGGTAATTTATTTTTGAGCTTTTATAATCTCGATAGAATTCGCGGGCTCAGAATGAGTAGGTTCTATGTCACATGTCTCAAGTTAGACTGTAAAAAAAAATGAGATAAGATTTGTGAATTTATTTTATTTGAAAGGTATGAGGTAAGGAAAACTTAGAACAAACAGATTATAAAGCAGGAAACCCCCATAAAACATTAATTACCTCTTTGTTCCACTTCAGGAGAGAAGAAAATACGATAAAATCGGTTGGAACATATCGTACGATTTCAGCGAACCAGATTTCACCGTTTGCGTGCAAATACTAATCAACTATCTGAACAAAACTCAAGACGAGGGTCCGGACGCCCAAATGCCGTGGATCACGCTTAGGTACTTAATCGGCGAAGTCATGTACGGCGGACGTGTGATCGATAACTTCGATCGGAGAATAGTCAACACGTTCATGGAGGAATATTTAGGAGACTTTTTATTCGACGAATTTCAACCGTTTCATTTTTACAAAGACGACAATGTCGATTACGCATTACCAGCGCCCGGATCTAAAGAAGATTACCTACGTGAGTTAGCTGTCTCGTGGAACTATTCTAACCCATCAAGTTCTACCCTTGTAAAACCATTTTTTTTTTATCAAAGGTCCCCAAACAGTTATGGACAGTTAAGTTCAATATTCACAGTTATATTAGGACCTCATACTATATAAAAAGATCAAACCAAATATTAGTCAAAAATTATCTTCAAACCGAAATTTTAAAGTTTTTAAAAGAAAAGTTCCACAAAAACCTAAATATTATTTCTCAAAAACAAAAATTCTATAAAAAAAAGTGAACTTCAAAGATTTAGAATTTTATTGAAATCGAAATGGGTAACGTAGCTCTGCTTTAAAACATTTTATTACAAATTATTTTTAATTAACTGTTTGCAAAAAAAAACCTAATATTTTATAACTATTAAGAAATAGAAAAAAAATGCAAATTCCACAATTATCGTTATAGAATAAAAGTGTGAATTAATAATTTTGATAAGGTGGTTTTCTGTGTTACCAAGTGTATCACGTGCCTTGAAGTTCTTTTTATGGGTTTAATTAATTTCAAAAATAAATATTGTGCATAATCGGTAAATTAATTGTTTCGGTAGTTTCCATTGAAGAGCTACCGCTTATTAACGTGCCCGGAGTGTTCGGTTTGCATCCCAACGCAGAAATGGGATATTTCACCAAAGCGTCCAGAGACATTTGGAGTAATCTGTTAGAACTTCAACCGCAGACCGGTGAGTGAATTATGGCCGTTTCCGTCGGTTAAATTTAAATTTAAAAAAAAACAGTTGAATGTAGACAGTCATTAATGTTGTAATAATCACCGAAATAATTTGGCGATGTCCGTAGGTGCTGCTGGGGCCGGTGCAAGCCGCGAAGAATTCATAGATTCAGTCGCGAAGGATATTCAAGATAAGGTGCCACCGTTGTACATACTTAGTAAAGTCAGAAAAATTTTTGAGAGCAAGTTGACTCCCAGTGCTATTGTGTTACTGCAAGAGTTGGAACGGTTTAATTTCTTGATCGAAAAGCTTCACATCACGTTGTCTATGCTCCGGAAGGTACCTCATTCTTATACGGCCGTTAACGGCACACGTCTTAACATCTACGCGCTTAGGCTTTATTGGGAGAAATCGGCATGGACAGTGTACTAGAGAGCGTCTCGATTTCGCTGTACAACGGCCAAATACCTCCGGCGTGGACCAAGTTGGCTCCGCAAACGTGCAAAAATCTCGGAGGATGGATTGATCATTTCGTGCGGCGAAATCAACAGTACGAGAACTGGGTACGTTCGAACAACCTGTTTGGTTAGGCACTTCATGGTCATCGGGTCGTTTAATTTCTAGTGCATTTCCGGAGAGCCCGTGGTCATATGGCTTTCCGGACTTCACATTCCAGAGTCCTATTTGACGGCCATCGTGCAAATGGCATGCAGGAAACGAGGTTGGGCTTTGGATCAATCTACCCTGTACACTGCAGTCACTCAGTTCACGAAAGAAGACGACATAGTCCAAGTACCGGAAACGGTAAGACTGCACCAACGTTACAAAGTCATGACAAGATTTTCTCAGTTTTGTCTTCCAGCAATCTCCTACAACCTCTTCAAATCTTTCCCAGTGCCCGGTGCCTAATATGTTCTTTCTCGATAATAAAACAGAATTTTAACCAAAGATTGATCACTAACCCTAATCGCACCGGGTTTACGTAGTCCTGTAGGATTAACTAGCATTTTCGTTTGGGTAGTTTTAATTAAGATTGCCTACAAAACGGATGGGATTTCCCTATGAGATATCTAAACGGGAGCTGTGAAAAAAGAATGTAACCAACTGTGCTCCTGTGACGAGTCCTGGACTAGGATAACTACAGAACGATTATTGGGCCTCTAATATTATATAACCTAAAGGAACTTGTCATTCCTGTATACACAAACTCTTAGGGGCATCATTTGCATGCCATCGTGTTCACTTTGATTGTCTATCTGTCACCCCTTTTAGAATAATACAATTTTAACAACATCATTCGTCTCCGCCATTGAATTTAGTTCACGTTCTAGGGATGTTATGTAACGGGAATTTACTTGGAAGGAGCCCGGTGGAGTTTGGAAAACGAATGTTTGTCCAGATCGGAGCCGAAAGTGTTGATAGAAAATCTTCCTATTCTCTCCATAGTGCCCATTGAAACTCATCGCCTCAAACTACTCGTGAGTGTTGTGTTGATTTCTATTAAAAAAACAGTGATAACAGTCGGGATAACTGACGTTTCCAGAACACTATTCGCACTCCAGTGTACACCACGTCGCAGCGGAGAAACGCTATGGGCGTTGGCTTGGTGTTCGAGGCCGACTTGAAAACTCGGGACCACAATAGTCTGTGGATACTGCAAGGGGTGTGTCTTGTACTCAACACTGACTGAGAATGGTATCCGACGAGCATGACTTATAATTTCTATTCGGTGATATTTTATACGGATTTTTAACACTAGGTATGGACATGTTGTGTTGTTTTTTCTGTTAGTCCGTATTAATTTTACAAATAAATGTGTTATAATAAAGTAGAAAAAAAAACAGTTTAATTTTTAAAAAAATAATCAGCTTGTTGCAACCAATGCAAAGCGCAGCGAAGAATATTTGTTTATCAATATGATGTAATGAGTGTAAAGCTACGATATAAAGGAAAGTGGAAGGAAACTCGAGGGTGGCCGACTTGGCATGTTAAGTTGTAGTATTCGAAAATTATAAATTTAAGTTACATGTCTAATTAAATTAAGAAGACAAACAAAAACATTTTTTATCCGAAAAACCTATTAATCTTTGAAATCTGTAATTATCCGGATTGATGAATATATGAAAGATACTTTAGAAAATGCATTGATATATATTTAAAAAAGTGTTTTTTTTACTGTCAATTTTTACTTTGCAGTGACGTTATAATATTAAAATACAATATTATGTTACCTAATCTACGTTGCTCTTGTACAAAGAGAATTATAATTCGACTAATATCTACGGGAAACAAAAATGTTAATAATTATATTGTAAATACGCTATACGATTTCAGCTAATACATGTGGTGGCGGCTCTTAACAGTACGGTTTTTAGGAAGTCGACGTTTTCATCGGTGACGTTTATGTTGGCCAGCAGCCTGATGCTGGGTTTGGGCATTTTGTGCTCCTTGTGGTCCAGGTACGCGGCCACCGTTAACGCCACTCCTTCCGCAATGCACTGGACAAAAAAAAAAGTTTTGAGGTGGACGTTAAGGAAGAAAGGAGTGCCGAGGGTGTATGTGAAAGTAATAGAGAAAATGTATGAAGAGGCAAGTACAAGAATGAAGAGTGTGTGTGGAGAAACGGAAGATTTTAGTGTAAGAGTAGGTGTGCGTCAATGTTCAGCGTTGAGTCCTTACATGTTATTACTTTAGTAATGGACGAGATTGCGAATGATTTACAGGGAGAGGTGCCATGGTGTATGATGTTTGCAGTCTAGGAGTTGCATCAATTGTGGAGAAAATGAGAGAGAATAGGTTGAGATGGTTCGGTCATGTTATGAGAAGATATAAGGCAGAGGCAGTGAGAGGTGTTATGAAGATGAATGTAGAGACTCACGAGGTCGACGATGTTCCGCAAACACTCTTGTTGTTCGACGTGTAACAGCGACTCGTCCTTAAGGTATAAGTGCTTGACGGGGCTTGTGGCGTCTGACTTTAAGGTGAAGTAATCCATCAGTAGTGGACTGTTGACGAGTACCCGATGAATTTTGACACTGCGTTCGCGGAGCGCTATAAGCATTTCCGGACGTTTGTCTATCAGGTCCAGTGCATGGATGGCGGCGGCTGCCATCAATGGCGGCAAAGAGGCCGAGAAGCAATACCCTGACCAAATAACAAACGGTATTATTGGGGTTGGTTGAGAAAAGGAGTAAAAAAAAAAGGTCTCGAATTGATTGATTCCCCTTCTAGAGCAATGGCACTGGAATAGCCAATTATGTAGCTACAAAATCTAACCTAACCCCTGTTGAACGTTCACGAAATTTATGCTTTACCTAGACCGGAGAGTCTCTGATGCTCCACCACGAATGAAGAGCCCACGCAAAAGCCACCGCCAGCCGACAAGGTCGTTTCCAAGCTGCCGATGATTAGGTCTACTTCGTCTTTCTGGGAAAAAAAAAATAATAATGTTAACATGTCATAGTGAACACAATCCAATCAGCCGTTGACGGTATGTTTACCGGTATGTTAAAGTGTTCGGTGACACCACGACCTCTGGCGCCAAGTATTCCTATAGACATTGTCTCGTCGATGAATATCCGTATTTTGTGCTTTATCCGGAGGTCGATCAGGCTGGGCAAGTCGCATATGTTGCCGGTGTTGATGTACAGCCCTTCGACGATTAGGAACGCTCTGCGAGACCTGTTTTTTCTGCTCGACTGAAAATGCACAGTAATAATATATGTAATACTGTATTATTATACTGGAAATCCCACGGCTTCCTCATGATTGTGCTCCTGTCGCAAATCTTCTTGGTTTAGGTTCTCTAGCTGACCGTATGTGTTAGGTAGGACATATTTTCTAAGTGGTCTCTCCTGGGCTCCTACCCCTCCATTTAACTTTAAGTTTTATATTCTTCCCTTTTATTTATGTCTTTTCCCCAATATATAAGTAATTATATGAAAAATAAAACAACGAGGCACTTAATGTCCATCGCCAACACGGACTCCACTTTTTAAATTTAAATAAAACTAGATGGCGTACTCCCGAGTAGTTGCTAAAAATGTAAACAAACCAAAACCCTTCTTTTTTGTTTTAGCAACAGCCTGTATTTATACAATTATCTACATTCTCGGGACAACAAATAGTGTAATCGATCTACTACTTGCAAAATATATTAAAATAGTAATTTTTCACCGGCCAATCGTAGTCGTGGAAATTTAAGAAAAATGGAGCTGTCTTATTTGTGCACGGAGCTCTTCAATTTGTTTGTGGAAACGCGAACTGCAAATCCCTTAACAAACTCTACAACGTCTCTTGGGGGCCCGAAACACTCTTGTTTAATAAATATTAATGGAATGGTGCTGTTGATTAATAACGCAATTTGAAAAAGTTAACTTAGAGTGTTCTAATTTGCGGCAGAACTTCGTTTCTGAGAGAATTACCGCGAGCGTTTTTTAATTTGCAAAAAAAAAAAAATGTATAGTATGAAAAATGAGTGGTTCAACAATTCAACATAGTCCAATAAACGTACGGTAAAGTTTTTACGGAAAAATGCATTAATTATTACTCATTTTTCCAATTAAATTATCAACGTGTCGCTCATTTTGAAGAGTATGCTAATCATTTTTAGATGCGAGATATAACATGGGTAAACATACAAAATATAATGTAAACTGTAACACATTTTTATTTTAAATTTTAGCGTTTTAAATGTGACCTAGCATTTATTCTGAAGATATACCACATACTATATCAGCAGTATACCGAACTGATGTAAATTACAACTTTTATAACACAATTTTAATATGATTGAGCTGGTATATACAACTCTGTAACGTTTTATTTTCCAGCTCGTCACACACAAGATTAGACACACTATATTGACTACAGTATTATAATATTATAGCGCTTGGATGTCGCCTGGGGTGACACGGACACGCGGTCCCCCGAGGATACGGGGAAAACCAATTTGGGGTCTGGTTGGTATACTCACATTTTTGTTTTCCACTATCAGCCGCTCCAAATCGTCGGCGCTGTTGTGTTTGAAATAAACCACCGTGGCTTTGGTCGCCTGCAGACCTTTTTGCACGGCGAAATTCACTTGTTCGTCGCTGGAATAACCCACAATAAAAATAATAATTATTTCGGTTGTAATATTATTTATTACTAGCGTTGTGTTGGCACTATTGTGCAGTTGTCAACGTACACGTATACAATGTCCCTGGACTTGATGTACGCCTGTATGGCGCTGGTCACCGTCGAGAACCCGTAAGAGTAGATCACCGCCTCTTCCATGTCCATGAACTTGGCGATTCTTTCTTCCAACTCGAGGTGGATGTCTATAAAAATATACAACTTGTCACCGGTCTTCAGGAATAATAACTATTAACACCGAAAGTAATCAAATCACTCACAAAGAAATAAACTATTCGACGCCAATCGGTAGACGGTAAATCGGCAAATGTATATACAAATTTTAATTTTTGTTTTAGAGTGATGATTTTAGAATTTTGAGAAAATTGTTACATCATATCATACAGCCGCATTTATAGATTGTTTGCTAATTCTTAAATAAGTTTACTTAAGTATTCGTCGTCAATTTAGTTTTATCTTAAAACCAAACGTTTTCTTAAGAATTATAAAGTCTTAAGACTTGCGCATAGATAATAATGTGGTATACTAAGATCTTATGATAAACTGTCAATGTTATCACATAATTCTCTTGAAAATTGGGACAAACAACAACTGTTTATTAAAAAGTAAACATTTCCATAAAAAAAAAAACGATTATTTTTTTAGATAAAAAATAAAGCAACTTGTTGTAAAAGTTAAAATGTATAAATACTCGACTAAAGTAAATATTATATTGTATTTGAATACAAGTTATTCATTTTTTTGTACACATTGTAACATTTGCATAATTTTATTTTTTTGTCCCCCGTCAAAATACAAAATAAATATTATTTAAATAAAATCGACGTTTCGCAGTTTTTGGCCGTCATTTCTTGTCATGAATTGACTTTTATGAGAGCGTTTTTTTTTTTTTAGATTACACGGATTTGGCATAAACGTGTTTACGGTGGGAAAAAAGCTGAAATATTATATTATAATAATCTAATAAAAAATAAGTCATCTGTCGGCGACAGGTAGTTTAATATCGAGCGACACGTGTCGGCGTTTAGAATTTTCGGCCATTGAAATTAACGTCGAGCAGATAAAAATGTATTCCAAAAACCCATTACTGGCAGAACGCGAACAAAAAAATTAATCATCCACTTTACTTTTCAATACCCAAAAGAAATCACAATTTTCTCAGAAATAATAATTAAATTTCACGCCCATAACATTCAATTACTTTTCATCGGTAAATTCTCTGAATAGTTGCGCACAAATCAGTGTCGAGTATTTGGCAGTCCCGAGTTATGAATAATAATAATAATCCAAACGATTGTGTGTGTTCGACCGTCTTTAGCAGCACTGCTGCCATAAAATAAATTTCATTAATAATAACGAGAGAAATCACAGAGTTGATTAAATCAACCGTCTTGTCGTTTTACCATAAAACTTTGACCATACACAACTAATGTATAGAAATAACATTATACTCATGTGATAAGTATACACACCGTCTAAAAATGGTATAAGGTTTACAAATTATGTGAAATTTATTTCTAAGGTTTATGATAAGAAAAATGTCAGTGTTGCCAAATTAACAATTATTGTTACAGTGTTGAAAAAATATTTGTTTTATTGAACAAAGGGCGTTGAAGCTAATTGAAAAAAGATCATGAATAGGTTGAAAAATCACTCATTATATATGTATTGACTCAATGAGAAAAAAATATTTATTTTGATAAGTATTCATTGAAGTTCAAATATTAACCGAATTTTCAAAACTTAGGCATATTATACAAAAAAAAAATGTTTTCCTTAGAAAACAATAATAATACATTAAAAAATGAATATTTCTAAATTGCTTGCCTGATAGCACAGGTTTAATTTTATCATATTAATTACCCTAAACAGAGATTGGAGTCTATTCTCAGCAGAAAATAATTAAAAAACGTTATTTTAATATTTTTGAAAGGAGCTGGCACGAAATCTGATATTCTCTAAAGTAATGATACTGTTGATTCTGTTTTTTCATACGAGATTTAAAAATTAGATTTGAACAAATTGTTATTTTCATTGGCAGAAAGAAATTGAACGATTTCCGGAAATCTGTTGGACGTTGACCGTTCAGACTCCAATGGCGAAATAAGAAAAGACATTCTAATAGCCCTAATCTTTCCCCACTGTTGTATAGCCGGCCACATAGTGACAGTTGCTTAGTGTAACGTCACGCTGATGGTGAATAATGGATCGCCCACGAAACAAAGCTTCATTGATTCCTTCCAACGACGTTTGGCCATTTGGCTTTTGCTCGTTTCAATCCGTTTGACCTTTTTTTTTTTTTTTTATTCGCGCCATAATCACACGTCAGTTAGGTTTGACACATTCGGACGTACAGAAATAATAAAAAATACAATTGAAGATTTATTAGTGTTCGGCCGACCCACGGTTGAAATTTCAATAAATTCATCAGGTGCGCGACATTCTTCACGCACAAAGCCTCTAAACCCACCAAGCCTCTGTCTGGCTAACCGGGTCTTTACTACATCCTATTACTGTTGTTATTACCCCACGAATTGTACTCTCTGTGCAGCGTAACACAATATCCGTCCGCCAAAGTATAATCCAAACAGGGAACGTTCGCCGGAAATACAACTACAGATATGTAGTTATGTATAAGTATATGTACATCTTTGGCGTACGCTAAATTGAAACTTTAATTCACCCAGTCTGGTCTCCTAAAGGCATACAACAACTCTGGGGCACAGCCAAACCTTCCAACACTAAAACTCTCCAGTCGATCTGCTCGCGTCCAATGCCCTCTGCTGCCCCTTGCGGTACACATGACAAATAAAAACTTTCATATCGAATCTCTATACAATTTCTGTACATGTGCATTGAGCAATGTTTACTAAGAACTGAATAACAAAGTATAAATAATCCAGAAAATAAAATAAAAAGGTTGCCCTGCTAACAATATTTTGACTATATAACCACGTATATTTTATTATTAACTAATAAAAAAAATGAAATTTTAGTGGCCGTAAAAAATATTTATTTGATTTTAAAAGTATAATCTGATTACGCCATTTTTGTATAAAATATGTAAAATATATATAAAACTATATTATACTATAATATTATTTGAATTTCCGGACATTAACGACCGGTTTTCAGAAGCCAATTGTTATTATTATTGTTTGAAGGTTCAATGAAACAATAAAAAATTAATCAAAACAGGATAACGGAAATTTCCACCGTTGTGTTCCTTTTAGAAGTTATTTGCTTCCAAAAAATTAACGAACCGTGTTTTATATTATTATGTATTTTGGAAAAACCCCGTTTTTGTAAAGCGATGAGAATTGGATTTTTTTTTTAAATAACCATCGTAGTAATGTCTATAGTATTTATAAAAACCGTTTAAGATTCAAACACTTTTTTTGGGAAAACCCATACGACGCGAGATAATATTTTTATACATTTTAAAACATGGTACCTACAAACGTTATTGAACCGTTATAGTCAAAAAAATAAGTATAGAACAGTATCAAAATTAAAGACAACATTTTTTTTCATACTTTAAGCCATAGCTTAAGCTTAAACATATTTTAAACTTATACAAATAACGCGGTGACAGAGAATGGGTTTGTGTTTAGTTTCTAATTTTACCACCAGAGTGAAGTAGTTGAATACCGGATAGTATAGTTTTTTTGTCAAACAATGTTTATCCACCACCAGATAAGTGACCCAAAAATAATAATTAATAATATTAGTTTTATAGGACAGAGAAAAAATGTAGTAAATATAATATAATTTCTTCAATTATTATTAGGATTTTAACCTAGTTAAAGTGTCGTAGTTAAAATCAATAAGCCAATAAACGTTAGGAATATCATACAACTAGACTACTTTTAAAAAAGCTGCACAAAATCCAAAACCTGAAGTATTTTGGCGTGTTTCTTTTGCTCGCTTTTCTACTGAATCGATTCAATTTTGTATCATATTGGAAACGTCCACTTATACACTTACAATTTTGCAGTTAATTAATTTGTTTTAAATATCATTTTCCCAGCTCTGGGTCAAATCCAGGACATAATGATTTTCGCATTATAATTGTTGTTCATAACCTCATGGCCTATATTATTACAAAGCGGATGTCCCGGCTTTTTTTTTTTAACATCCTGTTTCCTTAATGGATTGGAAATAAAGATCAAAAAATGATATGCATTTTCATTTGAACTAGAAACTATACCGCTATCAGGGTCAGATAGAGTCAACTGAATCGCACGTTAGTAATTACAGTTATTTTTTTTTACGAATAAGTAATAAATGCGTACAAGTTAAATAATTACAATAATTACTATGCAAAACATATTTTTCGACCTGCACATAAGAGTCAGGTCGTTATCAGGAAAACAACTTGTTTTTTTTTTTTTTGAGGTCATCCCGACTCACTTGTTCGGGGAAAACAAATAATACATACACCGGATATGCATTAAGCGACAACAGCGCATATTATAGATTATGTGATGTGTAATTAAAAAAAAAAAAAATTCAAGTACACACTACTAGGTACAGTCGTGCGACGTTTTACTAGGGTCGCCGCTGTGAACATTCATACCAGAAGTGTTTTAATTGAATTCACTTCAGTCATATTATTTTGATCGAACGGTGTGTGATTTGTCATACAACGTTATAATAGTAATAACATGATGTACGATGTGATGATAATGAATTACATGTCAATGAAAATATACTTGCCAATTGTGCCGTAAAACGCTCTAGGCCCGCAAGTGCCCACACCGTATTTGTTTACCGCTTCTATGACGGCGTTTTCAACGCTTTTGTCGTCGGTGAAACTGAAATAGTTGTGCGTGGCGAAATTTATACACGACCGGCCGTTAATAAGAATATAATTTTCCGCCTGAGAGACAAACCAAAAGTTATTGAGTTATAAATGTATACACTTTATTTTATTATCGACAGTTTGCAAAAAAAAAAAAATGAACGATAAGTGCGAATAAGAGCTATTAGAGGATTAGATGATAAGGCTAATTCCCTGTGTAACTGATAAGAGTTTATTAGTTGATAATCGTATCAACTGATAAGAGATAACATACAATTTCTCAATAATAATTTTTATGTTTTTTTTACTCTCCTTGATCCTCTTATAATATAGTTTAAATAATACAAAATACTTAAAAAATTCAATCCGCTAAGCAAAGTTAAATAAAAAGACAAGCTTGTTCGATCTCGTTTTTTATCGTCAATATTATTATTTTTTATTTTGAAATAAGCACTAATACATTTTAAAATATGAGAATTAATTATATCCAGATTAAATAAATAGGTAAGTTTGTAAACGAAAAAATAATTCATTGAGTAAAATTAACTTCAAATTTAATTATTGACTTATTTATAATATTTCTTGCTATTTGTAATTTATTGGTGTGTTATAATATTATCCTCGTATTTCAATATAGTAGTACGTTATTCGCGTTTTTTTTTTGTTGATAGTGATTATTTAATTACACATTTTGTCTAATTTATTTTCCCTTTCTGCCCGTTTTTCCAGAAAATGTTGAATTCGAATTAGCCTAACGAGAGGCCGAAATAATTAATATTATTATAAAATATGATTCTTTTATTTCTCGTTTTGATAAGTTCGGAGAACCCATAAAGTAGATATTTTAAGAATTTAAACTGACAACCTTATGATGAGATAATTTTTCTTCGGTACACTAAATTCATTTTTATTCATGATATATTATTATTACCATAAGACTTTTATTATGTTTATTGTATTCATCTAATCCTCAAAAAATAATTTTTTTTTTTATAAGAACCAAGTTTAATTAAATTAATAATTTTTAACAAAACGGCGGGTTTCCACACGTTTCATTCGTGTGTATTGTATATTTTTTTTGCTTTGATAAAAAAAAAAAAAACATTAATTAAACCGTCATGATGATATTATTTCTATATAGTGTGTTTGCTTTACTTTGCTTTGTATAACATGGCTAGTCAAAGACAACGAGGCTGGCTGACACTTGCTCACCAACGGTAATGGATTCCACGCGCTTATCTGTTTTTCTATGTCCTGCACACACCAACAAACGCAAAAAGTTTACGGCTTAAAAGCTAAAAAGGTATGTGCCAATTAAATAATTAATTGAGTTTCGAAAGTCCTTTGAAAAGTACAAAATTCGTTTTTCACCTAAAAACACATTCTGTTATCTTTACTTTGTTTGTATTGTAACCACTCTGTGTTGTCGAAAGGTTTTTTTTTGCTTTGAGCTGTAAGCCTAAAACTATTCAACGAGGTCGGCTATCACATCTGATGATTGTAAACAAAAAGGGCAAATATAACGGCGGGTTTCCACACGTTTCATTCGTGTGTATTGTATATTTTTTTTATAATAATGTGAAAAAAACACATTTTTAAAAATAAAACATGCTTTTGAGATGTGAAAGAAATTGTGATACACTCAAGTATATGAAGTAATTGTAGCAGTTACAATGAAGAAAATAAATCCACATTTTGAAAATCAGTTAAACATATTTTACGGTTTTATGCTATTTTTAGTGCTTCGTCTTATAATAACTTATGCTTGAATATTTTAAGTTAACATTTTTTTCTTAAACTAAAAGTTGTACTCAAATTTGTACTGTTGGTTTCGGCTAGCTATTAGGTACTCTGCTATATTATATAAGTAAACCGTTTAGAAATTAAAATGAAACTTTAGGCCAAACTTAGGAACTACCACAATTATTGATGCATGTTCAATTTTAGGAAATTGTTATTTTTTGTAACATGAATGTTAGCTTTGTCGAAATGTAAATTTAGATTTGAAACGAATATGTCTGCTGGCTGTTGGAAATTTGAGTGACCATTTTGTGACATAAAATGGGGAGGTAGGGAAGGGGGAACGAGGCGATAACGCAAATTTATTTTATATAATTAACTAGATTGCTAACTAGTGATATGAATTGAAGTCGGCCATTTTAGTGGGATTTATGTGTGTATAAACTAATATATATATATATATATATATCTGTGATTCTGTGCTATCAACTTAACCTGTAATTGTTATAAACAGTGATAACAGCTATTATAAACATGCGATAAGGTTTTGATTCCCACAGAGGTGGCGAAAAATGGTAAACTTAAATAATTATCTCTTTTGTCTGCATATGTCCACAAAGCAATCTAGTTTATCATATAATATTTATCCGTGAGTGATAACGGATGGGGATAGCGGGAAAATCAATTGTTTCCTGATAACTGATAAGAGATTTTTGATAAGAGAATCAGTTGATCATAAGAGATATTCTTGATGGCAAGGGGGGGGGGGTGTTTTCTTTGGGGTAAAAATTTATATTATGTTATTTTCTTGGAACACTCATAGCCAAAAGTCAATTAGTGGCAACGTTAAGTAGGTACCGTTTCGGCCGGTTTAGCCGTTTTCGATTTGCCGGAACTTGCCGCCTTCTTGATCAATATCCACAGCAACACGATCAGTATGCTGCCTTCCACGTAGATGTGATTGAGCTGCACCTGCAACAATGGGGACGGTCTGATAAAGTAATTATTATTCACATGAACGCCTTCACACACGCATTAAGATTGTATGTGTTCACACGCGCATCCAATAATGTAATTGCATATTGTTCTAGAATGAGTTTGCCAAGTTTCTGTTCTGCACAAAGCAGGTATACAACTGCGTAATAAGTTTCTACTCGGTGCGGTTGTTTGCTCATATTATACCTAATATTGTTATACTGCGGGAATCCTATTTTCCTACCGTACAACCGGATAGGTTAAATCCTGTCAAAAAATTTTAACACCGTGATCGGTCTTGCTAGTCGAGAGGACTTTTCGGTTTCGGTTGTAAAGTGTATAATTTTCAGTGGCCAAGATAAATAAACCCATAGTTGAATTTTTCAATGGAGTTAATCAGTTTGGCTTCTGAGCGTTTCGTATATTCCTTTATAGATTCCTCGATAGCCCCATTAAGAGTGGTTAAGCTAAGTGACTCAACGATGGCTACTCTAATCGCTTGAAAGTAATTTATAAAAAAAAATATATATATCTTCTTGCTAAATACCACAAAAAAAAAAAGTCGAAAATATCCCATGACCATTAAGCATTTGTTTTTTTGAGAAAAATGAACAAATTTGTGTTATTTATGTCTTTATAATAATTCTATACTTATGTTTACCCATATAGACCGAAAGTATTTCATATGTTTTTCTTAAACCATAGTTTAAATTTATAATTATATCAACCATTAAAAAGTTGTTTAGATGATTTAATTTAGTACTCTATAAACTGCGGTTAAAACATATACGGTTTGAACATAAGTAATTTATTATATAAAAAATGAAAAAGGTCATTTCTCTTTTATTCATAAAACAAATCAATCGTTTTAATTGTTCTAATGTTTGTCAGTTTTGATAAAAAAATGGAATATCTTTTTTTGACCAGAACTATAGAATATCTTGCAAATTTTGCTTACAAAATAAAGTTTAAATATTGATAAATTATGCAAACAAGACATGTAAGACATTTAATTTCTGACTAAAATAGGATGACAAAACATTTTTCGACACTTTTAAATCCTCTTGCCAACTGTGTTTTGTTTTAAGGCGGATTGGCGCATAAAATAACAGATTAAGTGAAATACATTTTTTTTAAAGCAACTCAAGCAGTTTCACATGCTTGAGTTGCTTTCAAACGCTTTGGTGCGAATCTTGTTAGGTTTGGTTAAGTTGTCCTGTTGCTATACTGTTGTTGCTTACACCAAAGTGTTTGACCATAATATGAATTTTACAACAAATTTAGTAAGTACCCATTGGCTTGACACGATTAACTTGTTATAGTGTATTAGACGTTAGTTATTTTCCAAAACCCGAACAATTCTGTAACCAACAGACGAGAACATTTCGAGCATCGAGTTTACAAGATAGCTTTGTTTTCGGTTTTATTACTATGCTCAATAATTAATGTCTATTCAAGATGAGACGCTGAGAATCGAGCTAATGTTGCCGCCTCAGTTTCTGTACTCGAATCGCATTTAACACGAGTATGAGTGATATTATTATGCAAAGACCGTATGTGTTACAAAACATTTCCCTTCCGCGTCAGGCCGAAGAGGGATCGAGTAATTCGATAAACAAATTTGCATACAGTCACCCAGCGGACACGAGCAGGAATACAAGTAAAGGAAATACTATGGAAATTACAAAGAAAATCGCATTTTGAATAATAATAATAATAATAATATAATTATTTTACATTACACAGTCAATGATAATAATTTGTGAAGATAGTAGTCAGCAGTCGTTTTGGGTCGGTTGCACGACGTTTGTCGTACACTTTGTGTTTTCTTCGAGGAACACACAATATGTTATATACCAGGTCAGAGGGGCGGGGGGAGGGGAGGTACAAAAAACAACAAACTGAAAATCTTCCCAACAGCCGCCGTCGAAGTCACCCTCCGGAATAAACTTCCTTAATGATTCGTGTGCACGTTAAGCAAACACCGGTCTTGCAATATACACAGTACAGCACATACAGCGTGCACACACTTTAACGGTTACCCGACCGAGGTTTTCGCACGACCGAGTCTGCTCTCTCATAAAGAGCAGCAACAAACCGTTTCTCTAGTAGAACGCTATATTATTATAATACACTACAAAGCGTCGGCAATAATGATAATATAAAGGAAAGGGGTCTCGTTTGAAGGTCCTACTCGGTTATGTGCATTATATTAACCGGATACTGTACACCGATGTATTATTAGATAATATAGTCTCGAAGGGTATTACTTGAAGGCGTTGTACGGATCAATGTCCAAATCTGCGTACCGTCTACGCCGGCTGGGGATCTGTTGGTTAATCGTTCACAAAAGGGTTGCCAGAAAAACAGTCCATTTGTCCGAGTGACACGGGTGCAATATTCTTGATTTCCCGACTTTGTTTTAGTAATGACTAAAATAATATCATAGTGTACCGCTGTGAAAGGAAACGACCAAACAGACACTTGGCTCTAACGCACAGTAGGGGTGTAGTATTTCCTGTTATGTATGCCAGTTTTTAAATGGAATTTTTGTTTTCAATATTGATAGCAGTTATTGCATATTGGCTCGGTGATACCTGATATCTATTTTTTATAATAATTGTTGACAACAATAGCATTGTTACTGAACTTATATGAGTGTTACAAAAGTATAAAGAATGGGACTTCTGAAATCCGGATATTCTACGAATATTCAATCTCAGTTGCTAATCTTGTGACTGTTTGCGTGGTAGTAATACAGCCTTACTTTTCTGTTGCTAGTACTACTAGGTACTAAACTCTAAATTTTGTATTGCTTCCTCTTAACACGCCTCAACCATACCTTATTGCTTATGTTTTATTCCGTTTGTTGTTTATTAGTTGTACTGTGCACATCTTTCACCGCTTTTCTCAATTCAGAGTCGAGTACCGAACGAAGGATAACAGCAACTCGCCTTAGACAGGATTTAACTGGAAATTCCTTTCACGTCTTTCCTAGAAAGCGAACTTTGTCCATAGTATTCGAATATTACAGCTTTTAATTAAATTCACTTGCTTGTTGTGCCTCCGAGTAACTTTGAAGTGCTACCCGTAATTATTAGTCGCTGCCAACCCTATTGTAGATGCACGTCTTAAGTCTGTGCTTATCAAAAGGATTGAGGTATAATTATTTCTGTTTGGCTATTCGACATTGCGCCTTCGCCTAGAATTCTCAAACAACCTCCTCCTCTTTTTTTTTGCATTTTTCAAAAGAAAACAGCGCCTCAAACGTTCTCTCTGCTGTAAGCTACTATGTCTGCTGCTGATGTTATTAAGCTATTCTATAAAATTGGGAAGATTGCTTGGATTTACATGAAGACTTGTAAAAATGTTTGTCAAACGGGAATCAAGCGTTGGATTGTCTCTCAACGGGAACAAATGTAAGTCCAATGTCCTTTACTACAGGTGTCGTATCACTCCTCGTAGTACCGTCCTCGTTACCATTGACAAGAAGTACCACTGTCGACAGATTGAGACGGTTCAAAGCAAATTCATTAGCTTCGTGAGACAGTGCTCAGGCAATAGGCGCGAACTCGTTCCAGAACTCATTTATTTTGCGAACAACTTTTTTTCTTTTCCAAAAAAGAAAACCGAGACCACGCTCCGGCGAATTTCGCGAGGGCTGGGAACACATGGACGCGTTGTTTGCGGGTTAGTTTCATTATGTGTATTATATTTTGACATCAGTCATCACCTGCTTCCCCTGTGGCGCTATTGGTTCGCCGGCGAACCCTCCGAGACGTACGTCGCCACCGAACAAATAGCGAAACCTAATTAATACTTGGAGTGAGCCGGTGGGGAAGGGCGAGTAGGGCGGTAGGCATAACCGAAGAGCCCCCGGGCCAGGACCCTTCCCGGAGAACGCGTGCGTTTCACTTCACCGATCAATCATCCGAACCAATCCACATATTATCATCCGTCTAGTTATTAGCATTAGCATTAGCATTATTATCATCGTCGACGTCGTTATTGGTATTACACTAACGACGGAGGGGCCAACCGAATGGAATGGAAAGAAAGAAGAGGCGTAGAATTGGAACAAGAGCTTAATATTCGAATTTTTCCTCTTCACGGTTGTGTACGAATTGTTCACCGAATTGGTGGTTCGCACGCGCCAATCCGTTGGGGGGGGGGGTGGAAAGGTTATTACCAGACATCCCTGGATTGTATATTAAAAAACATAACTCAAGTGTATAATAATATTATTAGGGTCCATAATAATATACTGCGATATAATTCACTGTCGCGTGTTTTTTTGTCGTTTGAATGTATTTATTAGTAGTTTCATCGCCAAAACGTTTTTAGCGAATACTCTCAAACTTTGACTTCAAGTAAAATAAGATAAATCGGTCGGGTATAGCCGTATTAGAGAAACGGGCAAGTAGCAGAAATTAAGAAATGTTATTAGATTTGCTGGTAGCCAAAGACTATGTGGATAATTAGTTAAAATCGTATCCTGATTAAGATAAGTGATTATCCATGTTTTCAACCAGATAATAGATAGAACACAAATAGTTCGTTTCCTACAAAATGTTAACTAGTAAAAAATATTGTAAATTTACACCATAACTAGTTTATCTATACATGATATTTTTTTAATTCATAAAAATAAAATGCTAAAACTCCACAGTTTTCACTTTTTGGTTGATAATATTGTCATTTATTTTCATTTCAGAATTCTTTTAAGGTGAAATGTTTCAAATATAGCCCCAATATGAAATAACAGTTTAAATTAAATCAAATCCAAATCAATTTAATGATAATCTATAAAATATCAACTGTTTAGATGATTGTCCTCGTATAACCCTTTATCTTATCTAGATAAGATGAAAAGATAATACATTATTTTCAAGATAATTTATTTAGATAACTATATCTAGATAATGTACATCACTGTAGATCAAAATGTTTATAACATACAACTGAAACAATAATAATGGTTTACTATCAGCAGCTCA